CCTGGTGGCTGAACTTTAGACGGAGCCTGGTTCTAAAACTGGGCAAGGAAGCTGAAGGCTCCCAGCAATTTCATACAGGATCTACGTACAGCAATTTCATTACATTTGGTTATGGGGGTGGTTCTGAAGTTCTGCTAGATCACTAGTTCTACTGCTTGTTAGCTAAGTGGCCATGGGAAAAATAGAAAATTAGTCTCTAAGCATCAGTTTCATCTATAAAATAGGGCTGACGATTATACCAGTTTCACATTGTAAAGTTACTGTAAGGATGAAATGAGGTGATACATATAAAGGACTTAGCAAAGTGCATTATAGATGTGAGAGACATATTAGATATGTGTGTATATAAAATCATGGTTCGTTTTTTGACACGTGCTCTCATTTTAGTGGCTACCTCTTTTGACTCCAGCTTGGCAACCTTACCTACCTTAGTTTTCCCATACCCACGCCCAAAGGAGGTACTGCAAACAGGTGCAGCTTGTGGGTAAGAAACAGTCCAAAACTTTTTTGCTTTTCTCCATGAATATGTTCAAGAATCTTGGACTGCATGTCTTTGACCTTCACTAGCCTGTGACTGCGAATATGATTGCTTCATATGGGTGCTAGGTTTTTTTCAGAGTAGTGTTAACATCCATGACCTCCCCCATGAGATATACATAATTGTTCAATGAGGAAACTGACAATGATGAGAAGAAAGTGACTTGCTCAGGGTTACACAGCAATAGTATAGGAGGTAAAACCCGCCCTCAGAATCTTGATGTTTCCACTGCTTTTCCATCAAGCTTTGCAATCGCCCAGAGCCTGGCTAGACATGAAGCATCTACAGCCTAGCATGTGTTTTTTGGAGGCCATCCTACTGCATTCTGATAACTAACTTTCTGTTTCTCCTAAGGCCAAGGTTGTTTCCCCAAATGGGTCTCCTAAAAGAAATAGCAGCTGAGAAATTAGCCACTGTCCTGTACTCACAGCTTGATTTAGCCACTCAGCTCATGTTGTACGTGAACATCAGGGGCTTGAACATGCAACTCTTAGCACAAAGATCAGATGTTGTGTGTTTGTGGGCAGTGAGGGAAATAGTATAGTAGCTCTCAGTGTCACTTGACATGACTCTGTGGGTAGAGAATGCAAGTTTGACTGTCAGTACCAGTTGCTGGTGTCCTCGCCACTGGGGACAGCACAGGTGCTGCTGATATAACAAATCACGAGCACAAAGACACCCTCCTTCCCCTTTATGGGACACTGAAACCCTGGCAAGCTTGGTTCTGCCAAGGGGGGTATCTTGTTACTTCCTCCTGGAGCATTAGATCTCTGGTTGGCACGGATGTTCTCTTTCTGCTGTGTTTTGTTCCTTACCCTCTTATCACTATGGCAACCTAAGAGAGGGAGCCAGTTTTGAAATCCACCCCCTCCCCACGAGACATATATGGAACTATGCTTCAACTTTGGTCCAGATTTGAGAGCAAGTAATTTTGCCTAAAATTCCAGGCACCTGATGGCCCATGTCTGAGATCTCCCTGCATGGGTGCTATTAATCTTATTGGACTGACATCAATCATTAAGTCACATCTCACCAGTGAGCAGGGTCATCCCAGTGAGAAATGATAGACAACTGTGATTTATTATCATCACCTGCTCCAGATTAGGTCAGGCCAAATTTGCTCTGAAGGCCTTAGCTTCTCAGGGGCCTCCTTGGTGGCTCAGGGGTTAAGTCTCAGCACTATCACCGCTAAGGTCTAAATTCAAGCCTGGGGCAGGAAGTTAATGCACACATGGTGCATCAGACCTCTTCTGTCTTACCTGCTGCTCCCTTCAGCAGTGTATTCCAGTAGATCTGCAGGTACTGCTCCTCACTGTTTCTGGTGAAACTCACGCCCCTCCACCCCATGCCTATACCTCAGTTTTTACACACACACACACACACACACACACACACGTGCACGCGCACAAACACACACAAAAGAAAACACCTTCTCAAATTCAGAGGGAAGGAGTAACAAGTTCTATTTTCTAATCAATTTTTTCTTTTTAAGTTAGAAAATCCTGCAACAAAAAATGGAAGCAGTCGCTTTGCTTGAATTGCTGGGAGCCATGACTTCTGATAGTTGCTAATGATAATGGCTTACAAAATTCCTCAGCTTGGGCCCTCCCTTGTGGCACAGCCGGTTAAAGCACAGCACCGAAGCTTAAGCCACTTGCTCATGAGTTCGATCCCCGCCTGCCCTGGAGGAGATCCACATGGCGTGGCAGACCTCTCCTGACCCGCCCGCTGCTCCCCTCAGCAGTGTACTTCGTCCATCTGCCTGTTTTGCCCCCTACCCTGTCTCTGGTGAATCCTCTCACCCTCCACATCTCTGGCCTGTACCCCAGTTCTGTATGAATTAAAAAAAAAAAAGATTAAAAAAAATTCCTCAGCTTATAATTCTCCAGAGCTAGACTTCCTGTGCCACTATGAATGTAGTTAACATTTGGAAAATACGTTTCCTTCTAGAAATCACTTTAAGGATTCAAGACTATTTAAATTCCAAAAGATACTGAAAATTTTACAAATTATTCTCTAAAATAATGGAGAAACCTACCATGGAGCTGACCATGAAGGTTCAGCTGACCTCTGATGTCTCGCCCGCTGCTCCCCTCAGCAGTGTTGTTTCAGTAGATCTGCCTGTTCTGCTCTCTACTCTATCTCAGGTGAATCCAATCACTCCATCACACCCCATCCTCCCACACCTCTGGCCTACACCCCAATTCTTGTATGCATAAAGAAAAATAAATCTCTAAGAAAACAGTGACAACACTAAATGCTAGAGAGGATGCTGAGAAGCCGAATTACTTAATAGATTGCTGGTGGGGGTGTAAAATGGTGTAACTACCCTGGAAAAGATTATGGCAGTTTTTCACAAAACCCAATGGTCATACAGATTACAAATGTAATCTATAGTAATTACACTTTCAGCCACTTATCCCAAATAAGTTAAAACACTTTCACACAAAACTTGTACATGGATGTCCTGGCAGCTTTATTTCTAATATTGCTAAACTGGAAACAGTCTAGATTCTATGCCAGTGGGAAAATGAACAAATGGGGGCATATCCATACCATGGAATACTGCTCAGTAATAAAAAGGAACCTCTGATACACAGAACGGGTTGGACAAATCTCCAGGAAATTACGATGATGGAAAAGGCCAATCCTTGCAGGTCATACACTCTGTGATTCCACTTAGATGGTGGAAAAGGAGACCAGATTAGTTGATTCCAGGATTTGGAGGTGGGTGGGAGGGAGACGAATATGATTGTAAAAGGCAGTATTTTTGAATGAATCTTGTCAACACAGTACCCCACATACCTGAGAATTCTCATCATAATCCTCTTCCGGGAAGAGGCATAGTCACATAATCCTTCATTGGATGCCTGGTATTAAAATCTCAACAATTCTAGTTAATAATTTCCACCCATATTATACACTGGGAAAAAAAGAGGACATACCAGAATCTCTTGTGATGCAGAACTTCTCTGTATCTCAGGTGTGGTGGTAGTCACACAGATCTATTCATATGATAAATTTGCACAGAATGACACATACATGAATATAATTAAAACTAGAGATCTCAATAAAGTCAGAGTTTTGTGCTCATGTCAAATACTGGTCGTAATTGTACTATAGATTTGCAAGATGCTGCCATTGGAGAGCAATGGCTGAAATGTATGTGAGATCTTTCTATATCTTACAACTGCATGTGAATCTATAATTAACTCAAAGAAATTAGAAAATGGTGAACTGATATATTTTTAGACATATGAAAACTGACACCAACAGGCTCACATTCACAGAAATATTAAATTCAAATGATCCAAGTAGGCAGCTTGGATGTAAGATACAATTATGAATGTGGAACAACAAAATCTAAGTAAATGTTGGCTTTATAAATAACCAAGAATAATACCATCATGAGAGATTAACCATGTACAGATCATCAAATTTCATACGAGTGGAAAATAAATGAAATTTAAGGGCTTGACTCTTCTATTTCCAGAAAGTGACGAGAACAAATTTGTATTATATTTTATTGTCATAGATATATGTGGTAATCCTAGGATAACTATACTAGCTAATAAAGCAACAGAATAGAAAAATACAAAACTCTTTTTAAAAAGAACATAAAATCTGTGCATAGAAAATAGTAAAATGATAGATTTAAGAATACCAACTACAGGCCCTCCCTGGTGGCGCAGCAGGTTAAAGCACAGCACTGAGAATCTAAAGCCGCTTCCACATGAGTTCGATTCCCGCCTGCCCCAGAGGTGACCACATGGTGTGGCAGACCTCTCCTGACCCGCCCGCTGCTCCCCTCAGCAGTGTACTTCGTCGATCTGCCTGTTCTGCTCCCCACTCTGTCTCTGGTGAACTCTCTCACCCTCCGCATCTCTGGCCTGTACCCCAGTTCTGTATGAATAAATAAATCTTAAAAAAAAAAAAAAAGAACACCAACTACATTAAATGTAAAGGGACTAAGTACTTCAAATACAAAGTAAAGATTATGAATGACAAAAAGATTGTCAACAACTATATAATGCTAACATGAATATATATCCTTAAAATAAGGACACGGAGCCCTCCACGGTGGCGCAGCAGGTTAAAGAACAGCACTGAGAAGCTAAAGCCACTTCCGCATGAGTTCCATCCCCGCCTGCTTGGGGTGATCCGCATGGAGGGGCAGACCTCTCCTGGCCTGCCCGCTGCTACCCTCAGCAGTGTACCTCATCCATCTGCCTGTTCTGCTCCCCACTCTGTCTCTGGTGAAGCCTCTCACTGCCCCTGCACCTCTGGCCTGTACCCCAGTGCTGTATGCAGAAATAAATCTTTTAAAAAATGACACAAAAAGACTGAAAATAAAGGACTGAAAATACTATATATTCATGAACAAAGAGTTGGTATAACCATATTAATATCAGAGAAAATAGATAAGGATCATTTAAAAACGACTAGAGTCAATCCATCAGAAAGAGATTTTTTATTGTGAAGTAGACAATACCCGAAAGCCAAAAAACTTTAAGCAAAACTTAGTAGAAATAAAAGTAGACACATCCATAGTCGTAAGACAATTTTATCACTTCTATAAATAACAGAACAAGGTAAAAATTGGTAATGCTATAGCCAACGTGTCCAATATAGTGACTATTCACATTATGATTAGGGACTTGAAATGTGGCTAGACTAAGTTGAGGTTTTCTGTGTGAATTATATGGATTTCAAAAAGATAGTATAAAGACAAGAATGGGCAGCAAAAACTGGATGGGTAAACTTGGTAGGCAGGGGAGTTGGGAAACACTGCAACCCTACAGAAACCTAGAACTCTCTCCATGTCTGCCACTGGCCAGACCCAAAAGCGGCAGAACCTCTCTACCCCTTCTCATGACCTGAAGGCAGGGTGGTAGTGGCCACTACAAACCATACCGGTAGGCCCTAGGGTCGCCCAGTCTAACTCTGACAGGCTCTAGGGAAGTCATTACCCAGCTACATAAGATGCTGTGTTGGTGTGGCAGTGTGGAAAGAATGATGGCTACTCAAATATTACAGAAGACCATTAGAAGCTTCAAGGATCTTATTGAAAAAAGGAGGATCTTATTGAAACAAGTTCAGTCATCTCTTCAGGCCATAGAGTCAGACGAATACCCTACTTTCAGTGACCACTGTGTCTCAACTGGATGAGACCAACTGAGGAATATAGAAAGATGTTCAACATCATACGACATATAGGATGTAAATAATCAAAACCACAGTGAGATGACATTACATACCCACAGGGTGGCTAGGTAGTGGGGAAAATTTTAAAAAATAAACGGAAAAAATAAAAGCCATTACCTGCAGGCAGAATTTGGAAGCCAGGACATCTAATGCTTGATGTTTTAAGGATGGGGGGAAAGATGCAGATCTGATGGAAGAAATAGGTGCTACAGTATGTGAATGGAACGCTTTTCTGCCAATGATTTAAGCCTAGGAATGGTGCTATGGGAAAAATTTGCTTTTCTTAGCTTGCTACAGGGTCCCAATGTCACATGTATCAAGTTTTTAAAACTGCCAAAGAAACAGATTCTGGCTAATAAAAGCACAGAAAGATTTTTTTGAACCGTCGAATTTCCTACTAAAAGGAGCAGTCCAGGCATCTTATCTCAGAGCCAAGGTTGACATGAGGGTTTGCCACCACCACCAGAGTGTCACTTTCCCTCCTGCCCTGCTAGCGACTGAGACATTCCAAGCAGAAGCATCTCCTAGAAAACCAACTCCTAGAAAAGAAGCTGGGGTCACCAGACCCACAAGTATAAGGAAGTTAATTGTGCTAACTGCTTGTTGGTGCTGAGAGGCAGGATGCTTGGCAGTTATTTTGCTGGTGTAAATCATAGACGGTGGAGCATGGTTCTGGGGTAGCAGCTGTAATATTGACTTTTCATCATGGTAGCAGGAAGTAGCAGCTTCCTAACTATAGAAGAATTAGCAACTCCCTTGGTGGCCTGGTTCTGTGGTATAGCTTTGCAAGTTGTTCTTGAATGCTCAACTTAAAGTCAGTCCTGTTGGTAATTCTTTAAGCTACTTAATGTCTGGTTAATAAATCTTTTCCTGCCTAAACTAATTATAGTAAATTCTGTTTTCTGTAACTGTACCTTAACTAATATAAGGGAAGTCCTCAAGTGATAACTGCATTAAGTGTAAATAAAAATTTGTTATAACAAATAGTAGTAGCTTTGTGTAACCATTTTCATGTCTAATACAATATATTTATAATACTATTTTTATAAAGACAAAGTCACCTTATAACATTTTAATGTATAAGGTAAAATACAGTGGTTCGGTTTGACACAACTAAATAAGATTTTTAGTATTAACAAACTGCTTGCTTAATAAGAGAGCAACTATAAAACTATGTGTTCAGTTTATTTCTCCTGCAGACTCCGAAAATATCTTTTTAACTTGCACTTATAAATTTAAATATTCCATTTTTATTAATCTAGACTAAAATACAATACTAAGTGCTCTTCAATATTCTGACCTGAAAATCATATGAAATATTAAGAACATATATGTTCTTAAGAATCTTTTCTGTACATACAATTGACAAAATATTTAACAAAGTATGTGCAAGAGTACCTCTGTATATCAGTATAGAGTACCTAGTATCTTTCTAGAGCTATCATAGTATAACCTGACAATCATTGCACAATAGCAGATGTGATAGTTTACATATAAATTATTAACTGAACTCTAAAATGTAGACATGTTTCAGCAAAACATTTCTAAGAAAGACATTGATGCTTATTTACCAACTCTTCTTTAAATGGATATCTCCCAAAAAAGCCAAGGTTGACCAAACCATTTAAAGACATTACCATTAAGTGTTTGATCAACCTAAGTTGTAATACTTTCAAAGGGTCAACTTCAAACTTCTTGACTCTCTGAAAATAACATATTCTATGGTACAGAAGTCTCCTGGTGACTTCTTGGGTCACTCTAAGGGATGTCTGCCCTTTTATTACTTCACATGTTACAAGCTAAAGGGCTTAATAGCAGTCATTTGTAAAGAAAGAAGCGTATACATGTGAGCTCTCCTCACAACTTCCTAAGTCAACTGACTAATAAACTGCTTTTGTCAGAAAAAGCACAGAGATTGGATGGGTTGTGGTTTGCTTGTGTTTTAGTCTTTAAAGTGCTAACAAAGCCCATTATCTCTAAATGCACTTTCAATGCAATGGTTGAAATATAAGCAGCATGAAGTATACAGAAGTTACCTCTAAATCAGATAGTCAAAGCTTTTTAGATAGACACCAGCAATTCTATACCTTAATAATTACTACACACAAGTCTCACTATGGACTTGTGAGACTAACACAGTAATTCAGTCTAATGTAAATTAAGCATGACTGATGAAAAATCCAAAATCTAAAACTAGAATTAAAGCAGTCATAAGCTACTCTGAGACAAATGCCACAAAAGGCAGTGCTCAGAATTTCAAGTAATTTATCAATGTAGTGAGAGACCTATACACAGTTAACTGAACTGCTTTTTTTAACCCCTCTGAAAAGGCTAGCTTTATCCAGATTAAATCTAAATCCAATACTATTTTTCCTTATATGTCAGCACAGAGTTTTGAATTATTTTAGGAGTGTGTTTTAGCTTCTGAACCACTCAGGGAGAATGTGTAAGTTACTTAGAAACTATTTATTATTAGAAGACTGAGTGAGATTCACTTTAAAAGGGTAGTATTCTGTTAAATAACTTGAAAAAGGAGGCCTCCGTATGGTAGGTAATCTTGTAGATAATTAAGGCTACAGACCTAAAAGCCTGGTCTTCTAAAGTATTCTAATAGAACTGATGCAAATCTGAAAACAGGGTTTATCAATATGACATACTAGTGTCACTAATAAACAATACCACATTTTCAAAATCATCAGTAATTCATATGTAAATAGCAGCACAAACTAGTATTATTTCTAAATGTGAGGGTGACCTCTGGTGGTAAGTTTTAGCACGATACTGTATATCTTATGAAATATAAAAAGTACCTTCGTATTGGAGAATATAAAAATTGTAGTTTACCACAAAGGAATGAATCATTGTGCTTCCAAACCTTCAAACATATTAGTAACAAGGTAATTCCTACTCCCAAGAATTTAGCTAACAGCTATAGGAATCTTGGTAAATTGTCTAAGATCCCCAATTTCTTTCAAGAGATTTACATCTTGGTGCTAAAGCTTAATTGAGAGGTTTTGGCATTTTCTAGTTTGGCCTTCACATCAATGGGTTTCTCAAAAAACCTCACCAATGCAGGTTCATTCAACAAAGAGGCAAGAATCTGTTCAAATGCAAATGACCACTGAGGTTCTTCCTTGAGAAAGGAAGGATGTTTCTGTGAGTGGCTCTCCCGTTCCCCCTCACTGGGTCCTCCAGAGGCGGAGCCTATAGCAGACACTTCTCTGTCTGGTGATTTAGGGCTATGCAGCTTCCTTCCAACTTCTTCCATCCTGAGCAAAAGGCTTGTTACAACAGCAATGGCTTGATATAATGACTCTTCTTCAGGGTCTCCATGAAATAAGTTATACAGGGTCTTTGAAAACTGAATAAATTGTGACTAGAAGACACAAATTGGAAATAACAAATGTGATATAGTTTTGGCAGATATAAGAACTTAGAAGTAAATTGTCTCCTACACAGAAATTGCACCATATAAATCTTCACCACACAAAATTATAACAAATGATGATTAATCCCCAAGTAAATCTTGTTTTTAGAAAAATGGATTATGAACTATGGAAGAAAAATTCTATTTAAATCTTCTAATTTATTGACTAATAGCAGTATATGGATGTTACTACACAATAATTCATGAACGGTTAACCTACCAGGATTCTTTCAATATTTGTTGGTACTCTTAATTAAAGCAAAGTCTCAAATTTTCCTAGAGGTAGAGCATTCATTCAGTCATTCATAACTGATCTAACGAAAGTATTAATGAATCCCCTTGATCTCCCCAAAGGGCTTGGGAGGCCCACTCAACTAAAATGATTTAAATTTAGGGAAGAGTGTTTGGGGACCTGTCTAGTAGTACAAGGTAGCTCTAATGGGGCCATTTGGACATGTCCCTCTTCAAAGGCTGAGTGGGGACCAAGTAGAGAAATAAGCTGGTGTGTCAGTTAAATGTCCCTCAATAATGTATGAACATTTCTAGAAGATTTGACAATTAAAAAAATAATGATTCCAACACAAGAATCCTATAGATCAATCATCTTATCAGATGTTTTATCTGTAAATAAAAAGCAAATACAGAAGATCAATTTCATAAAAATATCCTGTAACAGGGCCTCCCTGGTGGTGCAGCACTGAGAATCTGAAGCCGCTTCCTCATGAGTTCAATTCCCACCTGCCCAGGAGGTGACCACATGGCATGGCAGACCTCTCCTGACCGGCCCGCTGCTCCCCTCAGCAATGTACTTCGTCGATCTGCCTGTTCTGTTCCCCACTCTGTCTCTGGTGAAGCCTCTCGCCGCCCCTGAGCCTCTGGCCTATACCCCAGTTCTGTATGCACAAATAAATAAATCTTTAAAAAAAATATCCTGTAACAAACTTTTCTCTTTCTTCCTTATTTTTATAATACTATTAGTAATTTTACAATAGCTGTATCTCACTGACTTCTTTTAAAAACTAACTATTAAACTATGGAATTGCTGAGTCCATTGAGAAGTACTGAGTTATTCGATTGCTCATTTTGGAAAAGTTTTGGGGATCTTCAGTATCTGAATTAACAGATTTTACTTAAAAATTTAACAGCATATACTGAGTGAATAATGTATAAAATGAGACAGAATTAGAACTATGTTAATAGTAACCATTTGTATTGTTTGAGCAGGATTAGATGATTAGAAACCAAGGTGTGACATGTTTTAAGTGATTTCTTTTTCTTAGTATCTAGCATTGGGCATGTCATATAGTATGCACTAAAAATGTTTCATGAATAAAGCTGCAGATGGAAAACATATGTATGCATCTTTTTTACAGATACAAATGCCACGGTAGGGGACTACAAATGAACTGCTAGGTGTATTAAATGTTGAAAGTAGGAATTATTTTGTGTTTATCTCAACCTTACGCAACAGAGATGATACATGTATCATTTAACTATTTTTGTAATAGCATGTTAGCTAAAGTTGCATATAACCACATTCATACAAAAACAAGAACCTAGAACTGAAAGTACTATACCTGATTCATTCTTGGTAAATCCTTAATGTTTTCTTCTTTCTTGAAAAGCTCATCTTGCCATTGACTTAGATATGCTTGAATATCAACTTTTCCTTTACCTGAATGGGTACAGAATAATTTCACAATGATCAGCACACAATGTTTTCCGAATCTCAAAAAGAATAATTATGACTGCAAGATATTTTATTGAGATATAAGATTCTACTTTTTTTTTTTTTTTATAATTTAGAAATGACCTGATTTTACCTTTTATTTTACCCATTGGCTCTCAGAATATATTTTCCATTCTCATTAAACTAAAACTGTAACAGGGTGGTGCCTAGGGAAAGGGAAGTTCCAGGTTCCCTGCCCCACCCAGAAGGAGGGTGGAGCTGAGCAGAGAAAAAGAAGAAGAGAGAAGAGAAGGAAGGTGGATGGAGAGCCAGAAGGAGACCTGAGGAAGCCACATGGAGCAGCAAGCATGTGATGAAGAAACCGTGCTTGTTTCCTGACCCTGGACTGGTTAAGGCAGATGTGGGTGAGAGACCTGCAGGGAGGTGACTATGGCAGTGTTTATATTGATTTTGATGTTTCTCTTTTCCTCCCAAATTTGTCTGGCCATTTCTGACCCTTTTCCATGGGCCCCGGCCAGAAGGTGCTTTAGTCTAGCGGCAGGCTTTCAGGTCTTGCTTTGGGCCAGTCCCTTTTGGGTTGACTTTTGCCACAAGGGGATGGGTAACTTCAGGTGTTTGATTTAGAAGTTATATTCTTAGTGTTCCATATTGTATATATACTGTATTAAAGTCCCTTTTCATTAAAGTTTTATATGTTTTGTCTTGTTGCGGCGGATGACAGAACCCACTTAGAGCAGGCTGTAACAGATCAGCCCTGGGAGTGGAATAAGGGGACCCGGTGGTTTGCAGCTGATCGTTTTGGCTCTCAATCAGTTTTCAGCGTGCCGGTGGAGTCCAAGTTAGCAGAGCTGGTAGGACATCCTAGTTAACCTGTGTTTCTTTCCCTCTTTCCCTGGGTTATTCCTTTACCTTTCTCCTTATAAATAAATCCATTATTTAACCTTTTGAGTGTGTCCATAATACGACTGAATCGTAAGCGCATGGGTGAAGACCCACAGACAGGCAACCCAATTCACATTGGGATACCCTGTAACAAAACTTTTACAGTGGAAAGAATGGGGCTAGAGAAGATATGAGAAGAGAGGGAAATGCATGTAAACAGTACACAATGGCTTGATAAAATTTCACACCTATGTTCTACTAAGCTTGTAACAGCTTCTACATATGTGTAATACGCAGCTACAAAGAGGTCTACAGTGGCTCTTTCCCAAAGATTCAAAACACTACTTATTCATTTATTCCTCTGAAGAGTTTTAAAAAGATAGCATTAGTGTGACTTTATTAGTAATTATTTAAGATTCCTTAGAAAGTAGGTGGATATATATTGAACCTGGAGAAGTTGCTGTATTTTAATACTCTTCAGTAATTAACTTTTTTGAAGATTTATTTACTTATGCACACAGAACTGGGGTACAGGCCAAAGGTGCAGGGTGGTGAGAGGATTCACCAGAGACAGAGCGGAGAACATAACAGGTAGGTCAACGAAATACACTGCTTAAGGGAGCAGTGGGCAAGATAGGAGAGGTCTGCTGTGCCATGTGGGCCAACTCCAGGGCTGGGGAAATCGAACTTGCACTTAAGTGGCTGAGGCTAGCTTGCAGTTCTGCGTCCTAACCCATTGCGCCACCAGGGAGGACCACAGCAATTAATTTTTAACTAAATGTTACTGAAAATCATAAAAAGAGAGTGATAGACTTTTGGAGAACAATCTGACAGTCTATCAAAATACTAAATGGCATATTCTTTGTGATCTGGCATTCTCATACCACTATGAATTTATCCCATTCTAAAATTTGCATAAAAGTATACTAAAATGTAAGTATAAAATGTTTGTTGCAACACAATTTGTAATATAAATAACTGGAAACAACTTAAATGCCCATAAGTATTATCAGTTATTGAAAAGATTATGGTAAGACCAAATGGTCTGTACTCATTAAAGAGTATAAAATCCAAATGTACTGACATGAAAAGATTCTGTGATATACTGCAAAATAAAAACTCCAATTGTGGGACAGTATATATGCAATGTTTCTTTTCTTCTTCTCTCTTTTTTTTGTAATGTTTCTTTTAAAAAAAGAAATCTGTTTTTATAGAAACAGGTCTGGAATTAATATAGGCCACAATGTTTTCACATCTACTTCAGGGTAGGATCAGAACATATGAACTGTGTGAATTTCTTTTACAAGGGTCACTTTTAGTAATTAAAAAGAAATTTTAAAATAATAAATGAAATTAATATGGGTCACTTACTGTTATATTTCCTGTAACTCTTCAGACTTAGTGTTAGGAGAATAAAGAATAAATTGTTAAGCTAACAAGGAACTGAGAAAGGTCTCATGACAAACCAACAGCCATTAAAGTGAACCTGCTTTTCCCCTTTATGAGTTAACCCTATTTTCAAAAACAATAATTTAATAAACTAAATGATATTTCTAGACCACAGTACCTTTTTCTGGGCTGCTTTTCATTAATTCTGCTTCGTTCTCTTTTGCAGGCTTGGAAACTAGCGGAAAAAAGGGCAACTGTATTTTGCAAAATATTTAATAAACAACTTTCTGAAGTAAAACATTTCATTTATATAAAAACTTCTAAGCACATATTAATTTCTTCAACTCAGCAAATCTGATACCCTGTCATTAGAAGACAAAGTATTCATGAACTTTTATAATGAAAAGGACATTGAAGAAAATCCATATAAGAAATATGAAGAGGAAGTATACCAAATATTAAGTATTTGGTTTTGGGTAGTAGTTTCTTCTTTATAACTTTCCTTAAATTAGACTGTATTATTTTTATTATCGGGGGGAAAAAATGTGGCAGTTAGGAGACTCTGCTACTTATCCTGCTCATCATGGCAAAACTCCATGTGCAATCCTACACAAGTCAGTTCTTTTCTTCTGGGCCGTAGTGCCTTGACTCAATGAGTTACAAGAGCTCTTCAACTTTAATGTTGAAATACTAACATACAGTAATCATAAACATACATTAGTCTGGACTTACTCCTCTATAAGACATTGTAAATTAATGAAAAAGGAACAAAAATAAACTCCTATTACTTCCAAATTATGTGTTGGAGACAAACTCATCCCTGTCTTCTACACCTACATTGACTTATAATTTATAAGTATTTACTGTATGAATAACAGCTATGACCTTCAATCATCAAAGATTCTATTGTTTTCATTGTATTTTAACAAGGCATGAAAATAGTCTGATACATTTTAGAAATTTCTGCAATATAAGTAGAAACAAAGTACATTTTCTTTTTAATTCTCCAGTAAATAAGAAAATCCACAAACCAAGCCCCAAATGCAGTGTAGCTAATCAGTCAACTATTTCTGTAGAACTTATCATGCTTAGCCATGTACTAAGTGCTATGTAGCACAAAAGAAGCATAAGGTATAATTAACCCAAATTTTACTAGAGATAGTTGAGTAAAGAATTAAGCCAGGAGGACCTCTGTTAGCATCTGCTAGTGATGTTCACTGACTATTAAGACACAAACTTTTAACAGATATTTACCATGGAGTTGACTGAAATGAAGTAATTCTTCCTGGGAAAGTTCATCTCTGTTTGATGGGTCGTTAGATTTCACTTCAGTATAAGCTGAAAAGAGATAATAACCCAAAACATATTTACTAACAATGAGGAGCAGAAATAGATCTTATAATGGTTCAAGTAAATATGGAGGATAAAGAATTAAAACATTAGTGAGATAAGCCAGAAAGAGAAAGAAAAATACCGGATGGTTTCACTCATAGCAGGAGTATAATGGACCAGGTGAGAAAATAATAAGAATAATGAACAGCCATACACCAGAGACATTTTGTGGGGGTGGAGTGGGGAATGGGATCAAAAAGCGGGGTGGGGTGGGGAGGGAAGTGCATGGGACTATGGTGATGGCACACGGGTGACTTGGTGATGGGAAACCTGCGGGGATTACAATTGAGATGGAAAAAAAAATGTACAAAATGATGTAAAAATAAACTGTTAAATAACAAATAAAAAATAATTAAAACAAAGGGTTTCTGCATAAGACAGACATTTATAGCAAATAAAAGAGGTACTTGATAACACTGAGTTCTGATGTGCTGTTATTTCTCCTACTTGTTATTGAATAGCATAGTTTTCCAAGAGTCATTAAGAGTTGAAATAAGAAAATCGGGCATTTGGAAATCTCTGAAAATATGACCAGTCTTTGAAAAACATATTCAACAATAAGGAAACATGAAGTCAAGTACTTTAACATATATATGTGTGTGTGTTGTATTATATTACATATAGTGTATGTGTATATATTATATATAGTGTGTATACATATGTATTATGGGGGGGGCACATTTTTCTATTTTTAACCCTTCTACTAAAAACCTATTCATTCTATGGTAAAATCAAACACTGTTATGGCAAACTAACAATGTTAAGTCCTTCATGGTTAATTTACTAGGTGTTTTGTCTTTTGTTTTCAAAGCTGTGTTTGTTATTTTAAGTGTGTGAAAAGCTAAAAATGATTTTTAACTTTCTGGTATTGTAAAGACCTAGTTCCTCACTAGTTTCTGGGAAAAGTCTAAAAGAGATGCCAAATGTAGTTTTAGACCAATTATGAGGTGCTATTTGCTTTGCGAATTATCCTATCTACTTCTGCCTTGCTTCCTTGGTTTAAAGCCTAAGACTGTTTTCCCAAAATATGGATCAGGCCTGTGAAAGGTAGCTTCTAATATCAGAGGAAAACACTTAATTAAACTGGGATGGTGTGGTAACACTGAGGCAGTCTGGTAGAATAAAAAGAAACCTGCGCTTTTAGAGTAAGACCTGTTTGTATCCCTACCATACAGATCACTGAGTGATCTTTAGCAAATAATTTATCTGACCCTTAGTTTCCTTACTGTAAAATTGGAAGGCTAAATAATAATACCACCATTTAGGGATACGGTACTTTGCTAGAGTAAATGCTCAATAAATGGTAACTTTTACTTTGCTTAGCTTTTCAAATGTCTAATAGCCCTGGTTACCTGAGTAATTTGTGGGATTTCACAACTTTAACAGTTTTATCTAAAGGTAAAATCTACTTTCTAATTACAATAACTATAACAAAAATTCAACATTATAGCAATATTGCCTATTCAAACAGGTAGTTTTTATGCATCACTATTTATCATTACCTTGATAGAAATATATGAACCCATCTGTAACACAGAATCTCTTCCATACATTTCACTCTACCTACCTATCGGCAAAAGTACTGGTAATACGATCTGTGTGCCACAATGATGCAATGACCTTACATTGTATTGAAATCATGTCATTTGTTAAAATTTGAACCATATCTATAATTACACTTGTTACAGGGGTATCAATCTCTATATTAAAGATTGTTAAACTCTTACCTGGAGGAATATGCAGCTTAAAAAGCAGTTTAAGCTTCTCAGTGAAACTTCCATTGTACATTATATCTGTTCAATAAAATTCAATTGCAAAAAATCATGTATCCAAAAAATATTCAATCAGTTCTATCAACCCAGATGAAGGTACATATTACTCATGAGTTAGGATTCAGAAACCTTCTGTTACTAAAGTTAACATTAGCCATCAGTGAGCAAGATTCTCTCCTTAAAGTATATAAAAAAAAGTATATAAAGTATATAAACAAAAGACCTTTTTTAATCAGATGGACAAAATACTCTCCTGTTGATCTCCCTTTCCCCAACCTAGGGTTCTTTTTTTCCTTTGAATAAGACCTCATGCCTCATTTGAGGAGAGAATTCCTTTTCATGGGGCCATCCCTGATAAGAAAGCATGTTTCTGGAAAAACAAAGGAATGATAAAACTGGTGGACTACCTATAGATATAACATGTTTGTTGCCTATTCCTCCATCACTTTTTTTAAACTATGTGGTTAGATTTGTGCAAGGAGGGAAGTCCTCCGGAAGCATTCTGGTATCTTAGTGTAGGAAAATCTCTTCCTTCATATTAACCATTAAAACATCCATATCTAACAGATTGATTTTCTGAAAGAATTGGGGTAAAATGAGACCACTATATTTAGCAACAAAAGTTATAGCTAACTCTGGCAACAATGTAATTCAGGCTGACTAAATTAGCAATAATTGGCAGTTGTATTAAGTATTTCTAGGTGTGCATTTACTTTTTGCTTTGAAAATAGAAAATGATTTGATATCATCCTACCAATTGCAGAGGAGAATTCTTTGAAGTTTATAAGGTAGTCAGAGTTTTCATCCAACAATCTGAATGTCCATAAAGCTAGCGAGTCTCTGTTTGCAGAATGAGCCCAAGGACTCAACAAGTGATACAAAACTCTGAACTGCTGGCAGTCAATCTGATACTGTTCCAAATACGGCAGACTAGGGTCATGCTGCATCAATACTGGACGACTTGAACACCAATAATAAGAAAAAAACAGCTCTTTCTATTAAGAACAAAGAAAAAAGGGAGTCATTAAACCAGAAAAAGTAATGAAAGACTACTAAAAAAGTACCTATTGAAATAATTAAGGATTTTTAAAATTAGTCAGTCCTTTACATGCCTATGTAACTCTGGATTTACACTGTTTACTCCCCCACCTGTGCTTCACTCATCCTTCACCAAACCTGTACCAATGCCCTAACTCCTTTATTTCCCCTATCTCTTCTTCCCTTCTCTCTGGTCCTTCTGGTAACCAGCATGAAAATATATAAGACTAGTTGTGATAAAATTCTGCTAAAATAACATTACTTTTTCATTTAAGGAAGAATAGTACCTTAAACATGACAAAAAGTTCATCCAATTCATGAAGGCTCAATTTCACATCTTGCGATACAACACGCAGCTTTAAAGAGAGTAAAAGCAACTTAGAATTTAATACTAATGCATAGAAATTCTCTTGAATTCTGAGAGAATACAAAACACAGGCAGGAAGAGCACAAGGGGCTGAGGGGGCAGCACGCAGGTGAACCAGGGGTGGGGATTCTATGGGAACACATCTGATATAACATGTATACAAATTAAGAAAATATTAAAAAAAGAAATTATTTTGAATTCTAACAAATCTTTCTCTGCCAGAAAGCATTTCTTTTAATTTTTAAAAGATTAAAAAAGGTAAATGCACCAATTTTATTCTTTAAAAAAGTTGTATGTACAGAGTAAGTTCGATTATATTCTGCGATGTACTTTCATCTTTTTATACCCAGAAATCACTGCCAGAGAATCACCCCTTATGTCTATAAATATAAGCAATAGTATTTTAAGTCTCATTTCATATAATCCTCTCTTTCTACATAAGCAATTTGTCAGTCATCACATGAGGTTGTCTTTAAACACTTCAAAGGCATTGGGAAAAGTATATTCCTTCTCTGTGCCAAAAAATATTGTCAAAAAAAAAAGGCTTAGAAAATATGTAACTTTACCCAACTCCAGGAAGGATAAACATCAATGATGTAATCATTATGGTTTTTTTTTAAGATTTATTTATTTGTACATACAGAACTGGGGTACAGCTCTTCAGTGCTGTGCTTTAACCCGCTACGCCACCAGGGAGGGCCTAATTTTTTTTTTTAAGATTTATATATATATTTACAGAACTGGGGTATAGGTCAGAGGTGTGGGGTTGAGAAGATTCACCCTCTAGAGGCAGAGTGAGGAGCAGAACAGGCAGATATACTGAAATACACTGATGAGGGGAGCTCGTCTGCCGCACCATATGGGTCACCCCCCTGACAGGGGATCAACTCGTGCTGTAGTGGCTGCCATAGCTTCATACTGCTGTGCTGTAACCTGCTGTGCCCAGGGAGGGCCCTATAGTTAAAGTCTTATAGCATTCAACACTGAAAGTCAAATAATGAAAAATGCTGGAGAAACCAACATAATTCAACCAGTAGTTTTAGCAAAGCAGCACAGTGAAGATGTCAGGCTCCATATTTTAACAACTAAACTGCAAAGGGACAAAAGTCAGTAACCCCTTAAAGATAAACAGATGCTTATAGCATACCAGGAGCAATGGCTCAGGTGAAAGAACTAGGACAAACTTCAATATTTGTAATGTGATACCAGAAAAGCACAACTAATGAGGGACGACTGGCTGATGTCTGGAGTCTCCTACAGCTATGCACTCAGGGGCACATACCGACATCAAGGACTTTGGAAACCTAGAATTGGGCTGGGTAAGGGGGAGGCACAAAGTTGGCATCTAGAACAGAGTGTCTACAGGAGAACAACAGAAACTGATGTGCAGAGTGATGATTAGTGGCTTGAGCCTGAGACTCCCAATATAGAAAAGCTGGGGAAACCAGCAGGGAGTTAGTCAGATGACCTGTGTCTCCTTGGACTATTATTTGTAGCTTGTGGCTGTGATAACTGACATATCTGCCACCGGGATCCCACCATGGCCAAAATGAAGACAACTGAATGCTTTCACAAATCAGAGTTCAAGTATCTTGGTCTTAATAATATCAGTAAGCACCTGGGATAAGGCTCCGCATTAGAAAAGTCAACAAGAAACCACTTGAGGCTCAGGGCCCTGTCTCACCACAATCTGTGGCCAGCACTACATCTTGTGCTCCAACACAGCTTAGAGGCTAAGGCTGGCAAGAGACTGTATGAGACACTTAGGCTGGGGAGCTGGCTTGAAGAGGGGATCAATGTGGAGCTAGTGCCTATACCACAGTAGGAAGCTTGAATCCCTGACGGTCCCTAGAAGCGATACTTCAGTGCCCTACTGTCCTGGTTTCTTTCTGTGTATCACTCCTTGGGATACCACTTCTCTAGCCATCTGAACAGGTACAGAGATAGCAGTTTGGTATACTTACAACTTATGAAAACTAAAAATGAAGAGACAGAACAACAAATGTGGGAGGGAAAAAATACAAGTCTCAATCAGCCAGAACTGTGGAATATACCTGAAGAGTCCAAGGAAATTTATAACAATCTTACTGAACTAAAAAAATGGGTAATGCAAAACAGTAACAGAATAAAGACTGAGACAATATGAGATAGTTACAATTAGAATTGATGGATCTAAAAATGTTAAAACCAAACTACAAAGCATAACAGGGGGTCTCAAGAGCAGACAAAAGCAAGCAATAAAATTAGTGAGCATGAAAGCACAATGGAGAACACAAATAGAACAAAGAGAAAAAAAGAATAAAATGAAGATAGTATGAGAGACCTCTAGGATAATCTAAGGAGAAATAACATCCATACTATAGGGGCCCCAGAAGGAGAAGAGAAAGAGAAAAGCATAGATGTGGAGGATTATGGGTGCTTTGGTAGTAGAAGTGGTGTGGTAACATATATCTGAAGAGGTATACAGGTACACTATTGTAAGCCAATGTTACCTCAATTTTAAAATAAAAGTCACATGAACATCTATAAACCAGAGACATTTTATGGGGGTAGGAGGGGGGATGGGATCGCAACTTGGGTAGGAAGAGTGCCCTGGACTGTGGCGATGGCACACAGGTGAATTGGTGGTGGGAAGCCCATGGGGATTACAACTGAGATGAGAAAATGCACAAAATGAATATATATATATATATATATATATATATATATATATATATATACACATTAAAAATAAAAGTCACAAAAAAATTAGAGAAATAATTATTCAGAGCCATCTCAACCTGGGAAATGAACCAGATGCCCTAATCCAAGAGGCTCAGAGTTTCAAAACAAAGTAACACCAGATAGACATACTCCAAGACACATTACAATAAAACTGCAAAAAGTCAATGGCAAAGGACAAAATACAGATATGTGGAGAGGAAAAAAGAGTAACCTATGAGGGAACATCAACTATACAGTCTGCAGACATTTTAGCAGAAAAAAATTATAGGCTAGAAGGGAAAGTCAGAGGCTATTAAAACACTCAAAGAAAAGTATTTTCAGCTTACTATCCCTTCCTGTGAAAGATTAACAATCAAGACAGAAGGAAGGAAGGGTAAGGCACTTAACTGAAAAGCAAAAAATAAAAGAATTTATCAACACCAAGCCACAAATGAAAGCAGTGCTATCAGGTTATTAAAAGCAAAAGAACAATAAATAGAGGTAACAGATACCTAAATTGTATGACCTGGAGGAAACTCAACAATGTTGCCCATTAGAAAGAATCTGAGACAAAACCATCTAACTGATCACACCACTAGTCCATCATAATACACTAATCTCAGCAGTAACTGCAAACAAAAATCAACAGAATTAACACATAAAACACTGGAAATGGAACCTCAAAAAATAATGATGTCACAAAATAACAGGCAAACTAATGGATTAAAGACTTAGATGTAAGACCTACAACAATAAATATTCTATGACATTACTACTGATAAAGATGTTTTTGTAGACTTGACCCCCCACAAAAGCAAAAATAAACATTTGGGATTAACTCAATTACAAATCTTTCATACAGTGAAAGAAAATGTATGTAGATTAAAGACATCCTACTTAGAAGGAAGAAAATATGTTTATATTATATAACTGACAAGGAGCCAAGATATATATTTGGTATATATAACAGCCATCCTCAACATTTCAATAGAAAAACAAACAATTAATAAAAGGACAGCAGTTCTGAATAAACAATTCACCAAAGAGATTATCCAGAAGAACAACAGATATATGGAAAAGTGTTCACCACTTCCAATAAGAGATGCAGGTTAAAATCATGAGTTATCACCTAGCACACATGAGAATAGCACATATTAAAAAGATCCCCAGCCAACAAATGCTGGAGAGGATGTTGACAAAGAGGAGCCCGATTACACCACTGATGAGAATTTAAACTGGTGCAGCCATGATAGAAAGCGATCTGGTTTTACTTTATAAACTAAAAATGGAAATATACTGACCCAGTATCCTGTTCTTGGGTATCTATCCAAAGGATGTAAAACCACCGACTTACAAAAACCATCTACTCTACAGTGTCTACTGCAGCACTGTTTACAATCACTAGGGCATGATAGCAACTGAAATGTCCAATGACAGACTGATCAAGAAGATGTGGTATAGGGCTTCCCCAGTGCACAAGTGGTTAAGTTTCATCACTATCAAACTATCAGCAGTCACTGTAGCACAAGTTTGACTCCCAGCCAGGGCACTAACCCACAGCGAGCTGACCCACCAGACACAGGAGACCTTTCCTGTCTCACCCACAGCTCCTCTCAGCAGTGCATTTCAGTCAGTCTGCCTGTTCTGCTCCCCATTCTGTTTCTAGTGAATGCACTCATCCATTCCTCCCCCCAGCCACCTCTGGCCTATACCCAGTTCCTCTTTGCATAAATACAAGTGAATCTTGGGCCCTCCCTTGTGGCTCAGCAGGTTAAAGCACAGCACTGAAAAGCTAAAGCCACTTCAGCATGAGTTTGATCCCTGTGCCGGAGGTGACCGACATGGCGGAGGTGACCCACATGGCGCGGCAGACCTCTCCTGACCCTCCTGCTGCTCCCCTCAGCAGTGTACTTCGTCAGTTGGCCTGTTTTTCTCCCCACTCTGTCTCTGGTGAATCCTCTCACCACCCTGTACCTCTGGCCTGTACCCCGGTTCTGTATAGATGAATAAATAAATCTTAAAAAAAAAAAAAAGAATCTTAATGATGTGGTATATTCACACTTATGTAATATTAGTCATAAGGAAAGGTGAAATGCTACCATTTACAGCAAAGTAGAAGCAGCTTGAGGGAACTATGTGTAAACCAAGTCAAGACAACTGTTGGATGTTTGCATAGTGGATGAGTCAACAATAAGTTAAATAAAATGAGGTCTCTAAAGATAAAAGGAGGAGAGAGGGACAGTGGAAGTCGAAATGACAGTAAACTAAGTTGTGGTAAGAACTTAGTTCAAAGGTTTATTTTCATTCCCTTCACATAAAATATTTTTAAAAAGTTGAAGGAAAATGTTACTCCAATTGGTTTTCCTCCATTGGATAGATACTCACCACATTCTGCTTTGTCGTTTCCTCTAGGGTTTGTATCACATACAACCTATTTCGACAGCGCATGTTGTGTATATCTTCATAACGAATATTACCATATTTCTGCAAAAAATATTTTGGTGGATACTCATTCATAATAAACATCTACTTCTCTCACAATTGAATTTCATCATTCAAGTCTCAGAGGTCTTGTTTCTATTTCTAGCTATTTTCCTAACTAGCTCAGTGATTATGCAAATTTTACCTCCCACTTTTCATTTTTTCTATATAACACTGAGGATAATTCCTTTTACTGTCTAGACTTAGAACAAAGAACATTGGTACAATTCTTAGTTTCTACAAAGAGGGTAATTTCCATCTGTTTATATAGTGCTAGAACTTTAAAAGTGGGCATCATTTGTGAAAGCAGGTAAACATAGTTTCATTTAATAAAGAGCAAACTGCAGTAAAGGAGGCTATACAGCAGACTCCCTCATGCATGGGGCTCATGTCCCAAGTCCCTCAGTGAATGCCTGAAACCCCAGGTAGTACTTAACCTTACACAGTTAAATCTTGACTTTAACATCATAGATTCTTGGAAACTATGACTTTAAGTGTAACAACGTATAGTAAGCTAATTTTATCATAGTAAATTTGACGTCAATATGAATTAAGTTCCTACAGCCTATTTCTAATCACAGCAAGCATCCCCAAACTTTCAAATAAAGATTAAAACACTTCTAATACTAAACAATGATTTTTATTCATTCATTCATGCATTTTGAACACTTATTCCAGTTCAGAGTTGCAGTTCATGTTGCAAGGAGAGAACCAACTCTTCATAGGGCAATCTTCCACTGCAGGGCACACTCACACTCATACACAAACTCACTCTACTGGGACAACTAACACATACCTAACCTAATATGCACACCTTCAGGATGTTGGAGGAAACCTGAACACCAGGAGAAATCCCACACAGATTTTGGGAGAACATGCAAACTTCACAGAGACAGTGGCCCCAGCTGGAAATCAGTCCCTCTCCCGTCAATATTATATGAAATGACATTGAACAAAATGTTGTTCAAGGACCTGTTATAAACAGATGACTCTCCATATCTGTGGGTTCTGCATCAGCAGATTCAACCAACTGCAGATCAAAAATATGTACTACGTAGTCAGACCTATGATGTTTGTATATGTATTGAACATGTACAGAAGTTTTTAACTGTCATTGTTCACTAAATAATACAGTATGACAACCATTTACAAAGCATTGATATTGTATTAGGTATTGCAAGTAATTCAGTGATGATGAAGGAAGATAGGCACCAGTTATATGTAAATACCATTTTTTATAAGGAACATCCTCAAAGTTTGGTATATGGGGGTAGGGGAGTCCTGGAACCATTCCTCCAAGGACATATTGAAAGATGACTGTATATATAGTCTTTTTTCCTATACATAGCTCTGATAAAGTTAATTTGTTAGTTAGGCACAGTAAGAAATAAGTAATAACCAACAGAACAATTATAACAATATACTGTAGTAACACATGTAAATGTAGTCTCTCTCTCAAAATATCTTACTGCATGTAACATTTGCAGACTGCAGTTGACCATGGGTAAATGAAATTACAGAAAATGAAACCTCAGGTTAGGGGTAGGGGACTATTCTATGACCTAGGACACTTCATAGAATTCACTTTTAAAGCAAAGTTAGATTTTAAATATCTTTACCTTGTTTTACTCCTTAATATAGCACTAGAAATATAACTGTAGTATTGATCACTTAAAATACATCATTATATTTAAAAAATACTTACCTCATTTGACTCTCTAATCAAATCTGTAATATCCACTTTAATATGAGTGCTTTTTTCATCACCCACGTTTAACCCCTGCTGAACACTTGAAGGCAATGGACTGTCCTTATTAGTGACATTGTCAAAGAACCTATCCAAAATGACAGTAATACAAGAATTAGAGTAATTAAAATGCGAGAGAAAACGACAGCTAATTTTTCCCTAGTTGCTCAAAGGCTATTCAATGGAGAGTACAAGGGACAGACTTATGAAAAAGTAGATTTAAAGATGGCTGGGAATCAGAGACATGGGTTAGGGAAATGGGATGGAAAAGAAATTATTTCAGAGATATGAAGAACCTAAGGGTTGCTGAGACTCAGAGTACTCAGCAAATACCACATAATGCAATAAGGATGGAGAAAAAAATAGAATATGCAGAAGCATGTAAGAAAAGGAAATCACACTGGGACTTTACCAGAGTTCTGAATGACAGTGAGGTATTTCTATTTAATTTTGTGTATAATGGAATTTGAGGCACCGTTATGTTACCCAATTATTCATTTACTTATCTATACAATGTGCATGTACACACACATGTTGTGTTCAAATACACAAATATTACTCAAATAGTATTCAGGGAAAAGGAATCTGGAAAATAAAGCTCAACCTGTCTGGTAGAAAACACTTGAAAACTAGAACAATATCCCCTACTAGATATTTAACATTATCAACTGTCATTTGCTCCTCAAATTACCTTTCTTTAAAAAAGTCATTACGTTTATTTTTTTTAAGATTTATTTATTTATGCATACAGAACTGGGGTACAGGCCAGAAGCACAGGGGTGATAAGAGGATTCACCAGAGACAGAGTAGAGAGCAGAACAGGTAGATCTATGAAAGTGCACTGCTCAGGGGAGCAATGGGCGGGTCAGGAGAGGTCTGCCTGGGGCTGGGGATCAAACTCACACTAAGGTGGCCAACTTGCAGTGCTGTGTCCTAACCTGTTGTGCCACCAGGGAGAGCCCTCAAATTACTTTTACACAGCATTTGATAGCTCAACTAGTACTATGAAAGTTCCAGTATATTCAATCAAAACTATTAGTGTCAATGTATAAATACCTTAGTTGCTTAACTTCAAAATGACTTATATTTGTTATATTTTATTTAAAAATAGAGAACTGGTCTTTAGGCTTAAGGCTTTTATTCAACTAGTTTTGTAAATCTGGACAAATGGATCAAAGTTTTCTCATTTGTAAAATAAGTGATTAGAACAATAGTCTAAGGGACTCTCATTGAAAAGCTACAGTTCTTGGGTTTTCCCTGGTGGTGCAACAGGTTAAAGTGCAACACTGCAAGCTAGCCACAGCCACTTCAGTGCAAGTTCGATCCCCAGCCCCAGAGGTGAGCCACATGGCGTGGCAGGCATCCTGGCCTGCCCACTGCTCCCCTCAACAGTGTACTTCATTGACCTGCCTGCTCTGCTCCCCACTCTGTCTCTGGTGAATCCTCTCACTGCCCCTGCACCTCTGGCCTGCTACACATAAATAAACCATTTTTTTTAAAGATTTGTTTATTTATGCATAGAGAGCTGGGGGAACAGGCCAGAGGTGTAGAGAGTGAGAGGTTACATCGGAGACAGAGTGGGGAGCAGAACAGGCAGATCAACGAAGTACACTGCTGAGGGGAGCAGTGGGCAGGTCAGGAGAGGTCTGCCACGCCTAAATAAATAAAATCTTAAAAAAAAAAAAGAAAAGCTATGGTTCTTAAAGTACCTGTTTAAAGCTGTCACAGCTTCAGCATCATCTCTACATGTCAGCAGTCTGTCTAAATTATAGTCAAGTATTGCCAGTCCCAGTTGCAAAATGGCCTTTATTCCATCATAGAAGAAACAGTCCACCACATTGACTGCACTTTCAATAGGAAGTACACTAATAAAAAGTGTGAGGAACCATGAAAGAGAAACTGAGGAAAAGAATGTCATATCAGTCATGTGCTCTGCTAGCTGGGGAAGGTGGTCCCTGATAAGTTCTTCAAAGACTGCCTGATCCACCAAGGCACCTGGAGAAAATAAAAGAAGTTTAAAAATGAAACCCTTTCAAAAGGACCTTCCTATTTCTATTAATATGCTAATGCATCTCAATTCTCTTTCTTAGATTACAAATTCCTTCAGTGCCTTTTCTACAGTTCACAAATCTGAATATCTCACAGCGTGGCATTCATCAAGAGGTAATTGAGAAAATGAATTCAAATTCACTGAACAGTTATTCATTAAGTCTTTATTAGGTACAGAAGTTTATAATATGTGCTATACGAGATAGACCAATTAATGAAATGGTTTCACCTTCAAAGAGCTTAGTATCTAGTAGAATTTAATATAAATATCCAAATACCTATAATGAAAGACAATACAATAATGACCTAGCCATGATATTAAAAGGTTTATGAGGGTAGAAACCATGTATGGCTTTAAGGTAAGGTATCACAGATCTATAAATATTTGATGACTGAAGAAAATATATACAATTAACAACCTGAGAACTTGATTCCTTTTTCAAACTGTGGAATCTATACCACTCATATAAATGTGGTGATTTTAAGCAGATGAAATCCTACCATACATGAAAAGCTCTTAAAAATTTTCCAGTAGCTCAGGACACTTGGATAGTTTTAGTCATAGTCTTAGTAATACAAAGATAATAAACTTAAAATTTCCATTTTATTTAGACACATACCAGATACTTCAATCAAAAGAGCAACATATAAAACAATCTTCCAATTATATATTCAATATGAAAATCTCTTCAACATGCAAGTGATATTGTTCAAGTATTGGTATTTCAAAACCTAATTAATAAGTTAATCCATTTGATTGGTAATTAGTGAGGCAAAAGATTAGAAAAGCAATTTATGTGGGCCCTCACTGGTGGCACAGTGGGTTAAAGCGCAGCACTATGAAGCTATCTGCAGCTACCATAGCACGAATTCAATTGCCGGCCAGGGAGATGACCCACATGGTGTGGCAGACCTCTCCTGTCTCACCCACTGCTCCCCTCAGCAGTGTTATTTCACTAGATCTGCCTATTCTGCTCCTTACTCTGCCTGTGGTGAATCCTCTCACCTCCCCCTGCACTTCTGCCTGTACCCCAGTTTTTGTACGCATAAATAAATATATCTTTAAAAAAGAAATGCATGTTTACATATGTACATATGTATTATATTAGTACGTATGCTTTTTATTTTTTACCAATAATTCGACGATTAAAATAATCAGGCAACATTCGTTCACATACAGCAACCAGAAGCCAAAAAGCTTCTTCCTCTTTTGCATACAGCAGCAACACTGATGTCAAAATGTTCATTGCCTGAAATTCGCAGAAAAAAAATGTCACTAAGTTAATAATTACATTCCTTCAAAAACAGTAGTTTTCAACAGTAGCAACAATTAGGAGAGTAATCATAATGTAACAAGGTGGTCCCCAGGAAAAGGGGAGGTTCCAAGTTCCCTGCCCCACCCAATGGAGTTGAGCAGGGAAGAAAAGAGGAAACTGGAGAGAAGACTGGAGAAAAAAGCAGCCCTGCAGGAAGCACATGGAGCAGAGAGACATGTGAATAAGAAATTAACCCAATATTCTTATTGTCATATGAAACAGAAATTTCTTTTTTTAGTATTTAAATATTTTTCCAAGTTTTGAGATATAACTGACATATAATATTGCATTAGTTTAGATATTTCTCCTAAAACAATATACAAATGGCAAAAAAAAAGCAAGTTAGGGAAATTCAAATCAAAACAACAATGAGGTTGTCACTTCACACTCACTAAGATGGCTATAATGAAAAGGCAGTAAGAATACTTCAAAAGATATGAAGAAACTGGAAACCTCAAACATTGCTGGTGGAAAAATGACACCATCTATTTAAAAAATAGTTTGGAAAGCCCCCAAATTTTAAATATAGTTACCATATAGCTCAGCAATTCCACTTCTAGGTATATACCCAAGAATAAAACAATGTCCATGTATAAAGTTGTACATGAATATCTGTAGCAGCAATTATTCTTAATCGTAATAAAGAAAGTGAAAACCAAAAATGCCTGTCAACTGTTTTAACAGATAAAATGTGATATAGTCATACAATGAAGTATTTCTACACCATAATAAGGAATGCAGTATTCATACAGGCTACAACACAGACGAACTATGAAAACTATATGATAAGAAGGTAAACAAAAGACCACATATTGTATCATTCCATTTAGATAAAATTGCCACAATAGGCGTATCCACACAAATAGATGAGAGATAAATTAGTAATTGCCTAGGCTTGGTAGTATGGAGCAATGAGGAGGAAGGGCTAAGGAATATAGGGTTTCTTTCTGGGGATGAAGTATCCTGCAATTAGATAATGGTTGACTTTGTGAATATACTAAAAATCACTAAAGGGTGAATCCTGTCATATGTTGATTATATTCTAGACAAGTTAGATGAAATGGGAGGGGATGGGAGCAGAAAGGGAAGATAGATAGATGGGAGGGAGTGAAGAAAGATAAACAAAGCAGGGCAGTTAGCTAGCTACCTATCAGTATGGCTTATATGGGCTTTTGATCAAAAGCAATAAAACCTGTTTAGCATATTAAATTCAAACTTTTCCCAGGCTTTAAAGATTCTCCTATATCTTGTCACACAAACTAATTTATTTCTTAATTCTAACATGAAACTAGCCAGTATGATCTCATGGCAGGCTTCTTCCTGCCTGACTAGTACTACACATACTGTTACCTTAACTTTCCTCTTATTCTCCATGTTTCTAACAGGGCAGGTTCAATGAGTGTAAGCTCTTTGAGAAAAGAAGCATTAGGATCTTTTTATTTTATTTTAACCTTCAGAGATCCTAAACTATTCCAAGTCCTTCCCACTTAGATGAGCCATTCATTTAAACTGGCTTTCATAGTAAAAAACAAAACAAAACTATTGACAAATTTCAACAGACAAGTAATTTGAATGGGTACTTAACCCTTACAAATCAATGTGTGGCAGAGTGCTGGTTATATAACATAATCCATCTAATCTCCCTTTCCCACAGTATCTGAATATATGTGTGTTCAGCCACACATAATTTTATAGACTTCTTTGTGAAAAGATTTGGCCTTGTAATTAATGTTCTCCAATAGAATATGGATAAAGAGATATGTACACCTTCCAGGCCTAGCCATTAACAGTTCCCACAATTGTTTCTCAATGTTCTCTCCCTCGTCCTGTGGGTAGTAATGACAATGAAAGATCATCCTGGAAGCCCTGTTTTGAAGGAGACAGAGCCTGCTGACAAGCGAAATCTGTGAATAAGCTCATGATGGAGAGCTGCCTACTGACTTGAAGATACACTCTCCTTTTTATTCCTTAAAAAACCCCCCAAACAAAAAAATCAACCTTTACTGTGTTTGAGCTATTACCTGTTTGTTTGTGTTAGCAGTCTAGCATAGCATAATTGATAGTGTGTTCCTAAAGGACTTTTTTTAATGATTCCTCCACTGCCCACCAAACAAAATTCCTGACTTAAAATCTTATTGATTTTTTCTCCAATTACTTCATTTCATTCACTCTATATTTTTCTAAGCAGAACATGGTCCTATAAACATTCTACACTTACCTGCATCTGTGCTGAGTTACATTAATTCCTTCACCTGAAATGTTCTTTCATTCCATCTGCATCCAAAATTCACCAGTTTTTAATAGCTTCAAATGCTACCTCTTCCATGAAGCCTTTCTAATTCCTCCAGGTGAAATAATTAATTCCTATTATAAGTTTTGATGGGACTGTATATTTCTCGATCAATAATTTATCTCATTTGTTTTTCATTTGCCAATAAAGATGTCTACTGGTCTGCAGACTTTGATGGGTAGAACTGTTATTTGATCTATCTTTATAAAATCTTAAGTACTGAGCACAGTATCTTTCAGAGATGAGGAATTCAATAGCTTGTTAAATGTAAGAGAAAATTAAATTAATGAAATAGCAATTCTCCTAAGTATTCCCACTATCATCCTAAGATTATATACATTACCCAATCTCATCCAATTTCTGCCCTTATTATCACAATTTTCAAATTAGTAGAGTTGGATTTGATGTGATTTGATCAATTAGAATATGTATGGTTAGCTTCATAATAAAGTCTCACCTGGCAATACCCAATTTTGGGATTCCTATATGCGTAAGCTGTGAGTACCCGCCTCAGAGCAGATATGCCAGTGTCACTCTGAAAAGCTGGGTGCTCAGGCAGGGAGCGACGCAAATCACGTTCAATTTCCTCAGTAGCCAAGTTACAGGTCCCCAAGGACTTTTCAACCACCTCAGCATAATAGCCAGGGTTAGCAGCCATGTCATTAACAGCACCTGTAGAGATGATTATATTAACATACAAAAGCAGAGGTATAAAATAAAGTTACTACTTCCATATATACATGGAAAATGGAACTACCTGGATATCTGAGTATACACAAGAAAAAGCTTCACACTAGAACCTAAAACTTCAGGATCCTAATTTTGCCCAACATAAAAACATTTTCATAAACTGTTTCCCTCTTCAAATTCCTTTGATAGTTATTGCCCTCCCTGCTCACTATATCTTGTCTAATAAGCTAATTTGCTGAGATAATGGATGTGTGGATATATTGTAAATACACCTAACTACCTTTAACTCTGTATCTAGTCTGAAATTATGAGTAACAGTCTGTTCTACTCTTCATTTTAAGTATTTTTATTTTGCTCAGTATATATCTACTAGAGGGGGTTGTAATTAATGTAGTTCAATGAATAAAACAAATAAATATAACACCTGAAAAAAGCATCCACAGCTCTCCTCTTAAAGTCTCTGGAATCCCTCTGACAACCAGATCTCTAGTCTTTTTGGTCCGAAACATGCTAACGCCACGCCCACATTCTGCAAATAGGATGTTCCAGGACTGTTCCTTCATCTTTTCTTTCAACTATAACAAAAAAAAATTAAAAAATCAAAGCAACTAAACATGAGAAATTAACTTTTTAATTAGATTAACTCAAATAACTCGCTCATTCTCTTCACCATGGAACATCACCTATGGAAATCAAGAACATAGAAGTCAAAATCAGTATTCACAGAGGAACCAAACATTGGACTCTTGTCATCACAGGTGAGCAAAATAGTTTTAATTCACTATTTTAATTCTTAGCTAAAGTTATATAAAATGGGAAAGGCATTACACTTAATAAAAGGCTATGAACCAAATCCCCTCAATTTCAAGGTAGATTAAAAAACTAGGCAAATAAAACCCAATGTTCAACTTTCACCTTTTATTTTAATTGTTGATAATAGTCCTTTTGTGTAACAGAACCTAAGTCATACTTTAGTACCTGCTGGAAAATCTTTTCCAGCTACAAGAGAAGTTTTCAGTTGTGGAACTTCCTAATCTGCTCCAAGATTTTTATTTTTGATCAACTGTGTTCATCCATAGATGTAAATATTTTTTTCCTACCATTTTGGAATTAAGGTCCTCCAAATTCTGAGGGTGATATACCATCATTAAGGCTTCAGTGTTCACAGTTTTACTGCAGTCTCTCTGACATGTCAAAGACTGTATCTCAATATTATCAGATGGGCCTGCAGAATCAGAACTAATAGGAACCTGGAAAAAAAAAAGAATGTACTTGTCATAAATATATGTATAGAAACTTTTTATAAAATAAAAAGTGCCTATGTTTTATCTGTTATTTATTTAAAAAACAAACTATATACATAATAAATAGTAAAGCAATATCCCAGAGACAATGTCTTACTTTCTAAAATTTATTTATTTATTGAATTGTGCTGTAGGACAGAGGTACAGGGGGTGAGAGGATTCATCAGAGACAGAATGGGGAGCAGAGGGCAAAACAGGAGAGGTCTGCTATGCCTTGTGGGCTACCTCCCTGGCTGGGGTTCAAATTTAGGCCACTTAGGCCATCGTGGGAATAGCACTGAGACTTAACCCCTAAGCCACCAAGAAGGCTCTGAGACATTGTTTTTCTACTAAAATTAGGGATGTTGACAAGCCAATGTTTGGAACAGCAAATTCAGGACCTCAGAGAACTTAAAAAAAAAACAACATTAAAAATATACCAGTTGAGAACATTGGAAATTAACCAAAGGTACAGAACAAACTAAAAATCACTGAATTAAGTAAAACTAATGAACCTCAAAACAAAAACAGAACATGTAAAGATTTAATGAGAAGTTATTCCTATTCCTCTTCTCTCCCAAACTCAAGAGGTATTGTAGCCATGAAAGCCAGCATTATTACAGCCAATGGTTCTTTCTGAGCTCATTAAAAGCACCAGCCCAGAACAGTCAATATTTTGACCAAACTAGCAGCAACTTGGAAAGTCTCCATTTCCAATGTATTACCATCACATGATTTGATTCAGAGCTCAGCTCTGTTAAAAAAAAGTCCCATCTCCAGAGTGTTACAGAAAACCATAGCAAAATGCTGGTAACATCACAGCTGCTTAAGGCTGTGATTTCAGGTTGGGTCACAAAAGAACCTGGCTAAAAAAAAAGGAAGACCTGAAGAAGCAGATGACCATTTTGGACTTTGAAAATTTCAAAATATTTCAGGGAATGTAGAAGTATGTATGCATGTGCAGGGATGTGAATTTGCTGTGGAAAAAAAAATGGAACATAAGAAAATCCCAGTCACTAAAGTCTGGCTGACTTTGAAAGCAGAAAATGAAAACTAAGGCAGATTTATAAACTGCCTAAAATTTCAAGTATACCATATCTTCCTATAAAGATCCCCTTGGCAAAAAGGTCTAAGACTTAATGAGGGTTCAAATCATTTAAGGTAATATTCCAATCCATCACTGGCTGACCACTAACTCACATTGACTCAGGGTTAATCAGAGAAAGCCAGACTTACAAGTAAAAAAAAAAAAACAAGAACTTTTATAAGAAGCAACAGACACAAAATGCTTCTGAAGGGGCCCAGCTCTTAGATTCCATAAACAAAGTAAAGCAACTACTGTTAAATGTATTCAAAAAACGAAAGGAAACTATGTCTAAAAACCATAAAAGGACCCAATTAAACACCAGGCCACCAGGGACCTCATTAAAGATAACAAAGATGGCAAATAGTCACATGAAAAGATGTTCAGCATCATAAGTCATTAGGGAATTACAAATTAAAACAGCAATGAGATTCCATTACACACCTATTAAAATGGCTAAAGCCCAAAACAATGACAACACAAAGTGACTGTGAGGATATGGAACAATAAGAACTCTCATTTATTACTGGTGAGAATGCAAAGTGGTACAGCTACTTTGCAAAATTTTGGGCAGTTTCTTGCAAAGTTACACAGTCTAACCATTCAATTAACAACTGTATATAGCTAAATGAGCTGGATACTAATGTCCATAGGAAAACCTACATATGAAAAGTTACAGCAGCTTTATTCATAACAGTCAAAATGGAAGCAACCAAGATGTATGCTATATATAGACAACGGACTATTTTTAAATAAAAAGAAATGAATTACCAATAAAACTAAGTGCTGGTTTCTTAAAAAATCAAATTGACTAACCTTTAGCTAGATTTACCAAGAAGAAACAGGACTCAAATAAAATTAGAAGTGAAAAAGGAGATATAGCTAATAACACAGAAATGCAAAGGGTAGGAATCTACTATGAACAATTACATACCAACAAATTGGACAAGCTAGAAAAACAGACAAATTCTTAGAAGCATAATACCCTACCAAGACTGAATCATGAGAAAATAAAAAACTCTAAACAGACAAATAATGAGTAAAAAGATTGAATCAGTAACCAAAATCCTGCAAACAAATAAAAGTCCAGGACCAGATGGATTCACTGGTGAATTCTACCAAATATTTAAATAAGAATTAATAGCAATCCTTCTTGACCTCTTCCAAACAGCTGAAGAAGTAAAATATTCCCAAATTCATTTTATGAAGCCAGCATTTCCCTGACACAAAAGCCTGATCGATAAGGACACACACACACACAAAAACTGTGAGCCTACATCCCTGATAAATACTGACATGAAAATTTTCAACATTATAAAAACTGAATTCAACAGCATATTTAAAGGATAATTTGCTATTATCAAGTGCAACTTAACCTTGGGGTGCAAGGATTATTTAACATACAAATCAATAAATGTGATATTCTATAATCCTTTTGTACTAAGAACTCTCAATAAGGTGGGGATACAAAGTATATACTTTAACATAATAAAGGTTATATATGACAAACCCAAAGCTAATATCAAACTCAATGAGAGATCTAAAGCTTTCCCTCTAAGATCAGGAACAGGACAAGGATGCCATGCTTACTTTTACCATTCCTATTCAACATAGTACCAGAAGTCATAGAGAAATTGGGCAAGAAAAAAATAAATGGCATCCAAATTAGAAAAGAAGTTTAGTTATATGGCATAATCTCATATATAGAAGACATAAAGACTTCATCAATAAACTGGTAGAGGGCTCTCCCTGGTGGCACAATGGGTTGGAGCACAGCACTATGAGGCTATGAGGCTATTGCTGCCACTGCAGCACGATTTCAATCCCCAGTCAGAGGGCTGACCCAATGACACAGCAGACCTCTCCTAATTCACCCACTGCTCCCCTCAGCAGTGTATTTCAGTTGATCTGCCTGTTCTGCTCCCCACTCTGTCTCTGGTAACACCTCTCACCTCTACACTTCTGGCCTGTACCCCAGTTCTGTATGTATAGACAAATAAATCTTTAAAAAAACAAGCTGCTAGAAATAGTTGATGGATTCAGGTAAGTGTCAGTATTAAAAAAATCAGTATACAAATATCAACTGCATTTCCATGTACTAAGAATGAAATATATGAAGTAAAAAATAAATCAATCAGATTTACAGCATCAAAAACAAATATTTAGGAATAAATTTAACCAAGGAAATAAAATATCTATAAATGAAAAACTATCAAAGACATTGAAATTGAAGAAATAAATTGAAGAAATTGAAGAAATAAAATAAATATCAAGCTATCTCATGTTCATGAAGCAAAAGAATTTATATTATTAAAATGTCCATACTACCTAAAGCCATCTACATATTCATTACATTACCTATTAAAATTTAATTTGCGATTTTCACTGTGGTTTTGAGTTGCACTTACCTAATAATTTAATATGTTGAACATTTTCATGTGCTCCCTGGCATTTCCTTATCTTTGCAGAAATGTCTATTGAAATCTTCTGACGAACTTAAAAAAATAGGGCTGTTACTTGCTTCTTATTATTGAGTTGTAAGGGTCCTTCATATATTCTAGATAGCATCTCTTATCACACATAAAATCTGTGCATTATTTTCTCCCAGTCTGTGATTGTTTTCATTTTCTTGATAGTATCACTTGTAGGACAAGTTTTAATTTTGGATACAGTTCAATTTACCTATTTTTTCCTTTTGTCTGTGTTGATCATGTCATAGCTAGGAACAAATTACCTAATTTTAAAATAATGAAGATTTAATCATGTTTTCTCTTTGACTTTTATAGTTTTAGCTCTTACACTTAGATTTTTTCATCTATTTTGGGTTAGCTTTTATCTATGGTACAAGAATCCAGCTTCTCTCTCCTTTTTTTTGTGTATATGGCTGATATCAACCTCTACTACAGCTGTGTAGTTAAGTTGTTAAGATCTGTAAAGTACTGAGTTCTCCAACTTTGTTCTTTCTCTTCAATACTGTTTTTAGCTATTCTGGGTTCCCTGCATTTCCATATGATCTACTAACCTTTACTTTTAAAACATAGAAGTTACCTAGTTCCTGTGTATTATAACTGTACCAGAAGCCTTGAGTTAATACAATAGGTACAAAAAAAAAAAGGATCACTAACATCAACCCTTTAACTTTAGTATCTTAAACAACACAAAAAGAATATGCAGGAACTGAGACAATAGTTGAAATTACCTGTATTTTTAATTATTGCTACCCTACTGGGTATCAAGAGGCGATTTTAAGTTGCACTTACCTAATATGTTGAACATTTTCATGTCCTTATTTATTGGTAGTTTATCCAAACTACAGAAAAAGTATCCAAGAGGGAAAAGAAAAACAACCTCATGCTAAAAATCCCAAACATAAGTTTATAAAAGGTATGTCAAAGGTGCCAACACTATCTATGACTACCTTTTAAGTATTCATAAATAATTCACCTTCAAAGATGGTGGTTTAAAATAATTAAAAATTTTACCCCTCTGGTTCTTTTGAACAGAGGTTCTAGATGCCTATTTTATATATCCTATACATTTATTTGGGCACTCACCACTGTGACAGGAGCATCAAGTATTTCTAACAGTTTATTTTTTTTAAGATTTACTAGATTGGTAAAATCTCCTTAGACCTTTAGTGCTTAGGCAAAAGCAAATCACATCTAGGAAGCAATGTAAGTTGCTGACTGTTATGGGTATTCTCAGACCAGTTTAACTTTTGACAGCGCATTTAGAAGGCCAGCATGAATGTTCTTTGTTTGGAATTAAGATAGTATTTTCTTAAATTATATGCCCCATAGTGCTTTTCTATTATAAAAGATAATCTTAATAATACAGTATCATAATTGACTGTAACACAGTATTATCAGTCTTCACTTAGGAAGGAGAGATAAAAGGCTCTATAATGTAATCCCGATAAAATAATATAGCTTTAAACGTCATTGTTGATTTCTATTTTGAATTTTAATTAAAATATAAGTAGTTATCATTTGATAAGTTTTATAAATCTATTAAAACACAAAGTTCATAGACATTGAAAAAATGAATTTCAATTGAAAATACCTACATTTTCATGAAAGACATACTGAACATCAAAGTCAGGCTCTTAAACCTCCCTTTGCCGAGATTACTTGTCTTCTCTAATATTATACTTGTAAATAAGTATGCCAGCATTTTACATTGCCTAGGTTATATAAATAAAGATGATCTATCTACTCAATATTAAATAAAAGACATTCAAACTGCTTTCAAATTGCTGTCTCTACAGTATTAAGAGCCTACAGTAAAGGTCAAATTATCATAATTTTTTAAAAGCATAAATTCCTAAAAAATTATAAAGTCCTTAATTCTTCCTTTTCTTTTATGATATGACTTAGAGATTATTTTTTAAATTTTTCTCTTAAAAAATATGTCTAAGTGTGAATAGGAAAGAGACTACAAATTCCTTTTGAAACAATATAACCACAGAAAACTAAAATCTTTTTATCAAAATGATATAATAGCTATAATTACCTCTGTGCTAATATCATGATTTTGAGCTGAAGTTGTCTTGCACTTCTGCCCAAGTACTGCCACCAGTCGCTCAAAGTCTTTAACTTCACTGAAGCGAAAAGCCGTTTTTCCTTTGATGCTGATGATGACAGATTTGCTGGAATCATTTGTTTTATCTATAGCTAAGACCTGGGGGGGTAAGACCATACATAAATGAATTACATTTTTTCTTGTTACTGATAACTCTAAGCAAATTGTGGTTAACCTACTCTTATAGTTATTCGCTTTGATCCAGTGGTATGACTTTAAGAGATTCTGAGTGCTAATGATAGTTGTACTACACTGATACAAGTGACTTCAGAGCCAGTTATTTCACTTCTCAAGGAAAAGGTTTCACTAAAATACAGCATTTAAAATTGACAATACAAAAATGTAAAATTTCAGTGCTATAATGCTGACAATTCATTTCTGACCTACACAAAAGCTATCAATTCTATTTTTTTGACTGTGCGTTTCAAATATAATAGTGTAAGTTTCTGTTGACAAGTCATAAATGTCTGAGTAATCATGTTCCATTCTGAGTCATGACAGTTCCTTACCTTGTTTATAATTTTTTTTCCATTTTCATTCTCATAAGAGCTGTAAATCTCTTATCTTAGTACTCTTATCCTGAAGAATAGTAATCATCTTGAAAATAATACTGAACTTAAAAAACAATTATTTAAACATTACTAAAAGTATGTTACATACTGAGGTTTTAAGAATAGAATTAAAGAATACTCTATAAGTTATAACACAAACTAAAAAATAATATGTAATCAAATTTATATTACCTCTCGTAATGGAATGATTACACTACACAGATTGCCATCCTGGCTAGCAAAACAGATATAGTTTTCTGAGATACACATTTTCCCATGAGTATTGAAGTGGCTGAATGGTACCCACAAGAAACATTCATGTACTTCTTTCAAAGTCTCTTCTTTTGGCAGCCTAAAGAAAGCATTAAATTGCTCACTGTGGGCTCGGTTTTCCAAACCTCTGTAGAAAAGAAAAAAAAAGTTCATGAGATAATTTCTGAAGTATACAATGCTCACAATGATTAATCTAAACAGAGTCAAAGGGAAAGATTAAATACTACAAGCTATGTTCCTCAACAAACTATGAAATAGAATACACTGATTCCTAACAAACTCATTCTATTGTTTCTTTTTTCCAATTTTGTCTTATTAGTAAATTACAATGCATAAAAATTAGATGTACATGTTTAAACCATCTGTCAAGGAGTGATCTGCTAAGACTTATTACAATTCATAGATTCATCTTAGCAGACAAAAATTATTTATATCTGGTTATCATAAAATCAAGAGCTACCTAGTCCAAACAAAATCACAAAAGTTTACATCAACATTTAGAGAAGTATAGTTCATAAAAGATAATTTTAAATTTAGGTGAAGCAAAAATTTAAATGTTTTTTAAAAAGTCCAGAGTAGAGGCAAGAAAAAACAACAACTGCTTGCACAATACTGGGCACATGATAGGTGTCAATAAATACAGATGACTTGTTAACTGACATTACATATAAAACAATTGCTTAAAATAGTACAACTTTTCTAGAGGCACTAAAAACACTTGTGCTAGGCAGCAATGCCATCTGGGTAGTAAGTAAATCATATAAGATTTATCTCAAAGTTAATAATGTTAAAACTAAATTCATCCTTCCAACAGATACTATTTGAATATGTGGTATATTTTACCATCTCTTACAAAATAATTCTAATACATAAGCACAGAAAACTATCTTACCTCACTTAATTGTACATTGGTGGGTTATTTCACTATTACTTAAAAGTATGAGGTCTATTTATATAAGTGAAAAGATGTCCATGATACATTATTTTAAAGAGGGCAAAAATACTGTAGAATAATGACTGTTTAGTCTCACTCATATATTAAGGTACAGAAGCAATACATGTTTAGCAAAAAAAAAAAAAAACCAAAAAACCAAAGTATTAATAATGAAGATATTCCACTTTAAAAAAAAAAGTCATTTGGAGAATAAACTACTATTCTTCTTTACCTAACAGAATGAAGGATTTAGATATGTCTGGCTTTCAATAGGCTCTCTTTACAATGCATGTAGACAAAAACAGATTTAGTATATCTTATTTAAATATAGACTTGGTAATGAATAATTAATAGATGGGCTTTTTAGAGGATATTTTAAAGGAAATAAAATGGCTAAAAACTTTTGTTTATGGTGGACAATCAAGGAACAAACTATTTATAACAAACAGGATTCTTAATTCTTATGGAGTTCTATTTATAAATCATGTATACTGAAACAATTTTGCTATGAGTGTATGAAAAGTTCATCTTGCTGGCTTGTTTTCCAGAAAGGCAGGCAGGCTCACAAAGGAATTCTTATGTATATGGATTTTAGGAGGGACTTGTAATAGGAAGAGGAACAACTATACCCAGTGAAGGTAACCAAGTAATCACATTACCCTCCAGGTGACTTGTTCTGGTCTTTCCATAGGACTGCAGCTTAGGTTCCTCTTACACTTTGCTGACATTCTACAACCCTCATCCTCCTTACCTGAAGCTGTTTTTGCTACCTATTTCTAGATCCTCTCCTCGCTCTCCTCCCCTTTGGCATGCTCACTTTAAGTCAACTGTTCTAAGTGTTGAGGTGGATGAAAGGGCTCTGGTTAGTTTTACCAAAGCAAATACAGTAGCAAAGAGTTATTAGACACTTCTTATACAGGCACTGATAATGATTAACATGCATCAAGTGCTTGACATTTGACAAAGTGCTTTCACACCACATTGCTCATTACTCACAAGTGCTCTACGAGGTAGAAATGACATATGAGGAATCTAAGGTCCTGAGAGATTTGCTGTAACCCTCATTCTAGAGCCCAGGCTCTACTGCTGCCACTAAATTGCCTTTTCAAAGAAAAAAAAAAGATTCTGTTTATAAATGATGTTTTAAAAATAGTATGTTTAACAATTTGAGCCTGAAACTTTCCAAATGACTTACAGAGAAATTCAGTTAGGTTAAATATGCACACACAAATCTCTACACTCTAAGGAAAATCCTATTGGGTTAAAGCACAGCACTAAGAAGCTTAAGCCACTTCTGCATGAGTTCGATTCCCGCCTGCCCCGGAGGTGACCACATGGCATAGCAGACCTCTCCTGACCCGCCCACTGCTCCCTCAGCAGTGTACTTCCTCGATCTGCCTGTTCTGCTCCCTGCTCTATCTCTGGTGAATCCTCTCACCCTCCGCATCTCTGGCCTGTACCCCAGTTCTATATGAATAAATAAACAAATCTTTAAAAAAAAAGTATTAATTAAGGCTTAAATACCTTTTGGTAATTTGCCGAGGATCATCAAGGATTGGGTCATTATCAAAAGTTTCCTTATCAAAAAGTCTCCTTATAGCATAGCTTGCCAGCTGTTCCATAAGAAGGTATGTTTGGTTAATATGCAGGAACATTGAAAAGTAGTGATTCTCCCCTTGGGCACACACATGAATACTCTCAGTCAGTATGACATTTGAAGTCTTCTCAAGTTTTGAGACTGCATCCCAAGAGATAATGAGTTTTACTGCAAAGAATTATAAACAGATATGATTAAATTTCTCTTGATTTATAGCTATCAATAAAGGTTTTCAAAACAATACTTAACCACTTCAAAATGCTATGGAACTAAAATACTTCAAAGTTCCTGATTAGTTAAAATTTTGAAAAACCATGAACTTATAGTAGCTAGTAATTCTAGAAACAGATAAAATTTTAAAGATTTTTTTTAAAATGATGGATTTGATATTAAATCTGTTACTTAACATAACGACATAACAACTGATAAACCATATGTATGCTATAAACAGTACTATTTGATTCATTTCTATAGTTATGTGCTATCAGGTATTATTGGCTTCAGTATTTTCCTTCATCATCTTAACCATTTTTTTTATTGAGGTGTAACAGTGGCAATATACAACACCATATATGACTTAAGAGGTATATAGTCATACCCTTCAGGTGTATGTTACCATAACACACTCACCACCAAAGCACCCAGAGTCCACAACCATGGTCTACTATATCCCTAGATAGCTATTTTTTAAAGATTTATTTTACTTATTTATGTATACAAGAACTGGGATGTAGGTGTAAGGAGTAGAGTGGAAGGGTTGAGAGGATTCACCACAGACAGAGTGGGGAGCAGAACAGGTAGATCTACTAAAATACAATGCTGAGGGGAGCAGCAGGTGAGAAAGGAAAGGTCTGCTATGCCATGTGTCAGCTCCCTGGCCAGGGATCAAACTCATGCTGCAATGGCAGACAAATTGCACGATAGCGCTGAGACCTAGCCATTCCATCACCAGGAAAACCCATTAGATGAGCTTTTTAAAGTACAATCTAATTATTTGTGCTGTCCCAATAACTTCTATAACTATACTGCATTTTAAAATAAAAACTAAAACACAGACTAAAGCAAACAGATAGTTTAAGAACAAGGAAAAGAAAGCAGTTATTTGACACCTCATCACATAAATGAAATCTTTCTCTAGATACGATGGGCTTTTTAGGGTACAGTCTATTTTTACTATCAATCTTATTACTTTATATGCAACCAAATATTACCACAGAGTTGATCAGTTAGCAAGTTCAAAGTCATGGCAAGCAATAGAAACCACTTACTTTCTGATCCCAACAAAAAAGAGTAGAAGCTCAAAAAGTTGGTGCTAAGATAGAGCCAACCCTGACAAGGAACCCGTCCTTTCCAATAACTGCATGAGTAATAGGTGACTAACTTCTCCTGCTCTGGTAAACCAAAACATTTTTCAAATTTCAGTAGGGCTTCTCGAAATTTCTCAGGATCATCTTCTTTTGCAAAAGAATGTTTTCCCTCTTCAGCAATTAATCCCTAAATGAGACAAAATATTTTCTGAAAATTAATCATTACCTACTAAGAAATATATTTCAGATATTTAAACAGTTCATTTTACAACTGCCTATACTTACACAGGGATATTTATCATATGTATATGAGTACTGTCGTCCTTTTTTTAAGACAAGGGTTAGCTGATTTCCTTCTTTTAAAATTTATTTACTTATGAATGTAAGAACTGGGGTATAGACCACAGGTGCAGGGGGTGATCCACTAGTGACAGAGTGGAAAACAGAACAAGTGTATTGACTGAAATACACTGCTGAGGGGAGCAGTGGGCAAGCCAGAAGAGGTCTGCCATGCCATGTGGGTCACCTCCGTGGCCAGGGATCAAACTCACGCTGCAGAGGCTGAGGATAGCTTCATAGTGCTGTACTTTAACCTGTTGTGCCACCAAGGTGGCCCCCTCCTTCAATTTTTTTACTTAGGTTTTTCTAATGCTTTAGAAGGAGCTATAACAAAGATAAATGCTACATACATTCATTTGCTTGAGCAAAGGGTTCATTCAAATTTCAACTCAAGAGATACTGAGTTTGAAAATACTAATATGCAATACAAATATTCATATGAAAATATCCCCAGAGTACTCACATGGGCACCAAAGACAAACTACTGATTTTATAATTTTCTTTAGCACTGATTCTGACATTCACATATGTTCATGACAATCCTGAAAGGTATCAGTAAAACAATGACCTTCCATGTAGTCTTTGGTCATTATATAAGAGGGTAAATAATATATTTTAGTATTTATCTACAAAATATATCTATATACTTACTCTTATCTTTCCTTGTACAAAATTAGTAATATCTTCATTTGAATCAAACACAGATAAAGTCTTCATGATATTTTGTTCCAGCCAATCCCAATGTTTGTTTATTTCTTCTCTGTTGGCTCCTGATCAATAATGCAAGAGAACAAAGACTCAGTGAAAACATAATAAAATTGCTCTTGATATATACAAGCTTAGTTTAAAAATAAAAATGATGCTTGTTCATTTTCAAAAATTATGGTCATAAAAGATGACCATAAAAGACAATACATTTAAGGCCCTCCCTGGTGGCGCAGCGGGTTAAAGCACAGCACTGAGAATCTGAAGCCACTTCCGCATGAGTTCGATTCCCGCCTGCCCGGAGACCACATAGCGAGCCAGACCTCTCCTCCGCTGCTTCCCTCAGCAGTGTACTTCATAGATCTGCCTGTTCTGCTCCCCACTCTGTCTCTGGTGAAGCCTCTCACCGCCCATGAGCCTATGGCCTGTACCCCAGTTCTGTATGCACAAATAAATAAATCTTAAAAAAAAAAAGACAATACATTTATTGTCTACTTCATCTCTGTATGTGTGCATGAACACTATTTTTCAGTATAAATAGAAAGAATGCATTTAATGAAAGCAGAGAAAAGTAAATACAACTTAGAGGAAATACAAAATCCTAAAAACAAGTTGCCTATAACTGGTGCCTCTATCTTCTTTTAAGAGAAGATAGAGAATGCCAGAAGACACATATACATATTTTAATCTGTGGCCTTCAGATAATACTATTAGTACTGTGGCTATAATCAGTGCGACTGAAGAGGGCATTTGCATGACAATCTCATGCACATTGTACAAATGTGGACTTTTTTTTTAAAGATTTATTTATTTGTGCATACAGAACTGGGGTACAGACCAGAGGCTCAGGGGCGGTGAGAGACTTCACCAGAGACAGAGTGGGGAACAGAACAGGCAAATTGACGAAGTACAATGCTGAGGGGAGCAGTGGGCGGGTCAGGAGAGGTCTGCCGTGCCATTTGGTCACCTCCGGGGCAGGTGGGAATCGAACTCATGTGGAAGCGGCTTTAGATTCTCAGTCCTTATGCTTTAACCCGCTGCGCCACCAGGGAGGGCCCAAATGTGGACTTCATAAGTCAGAAAGTATAACGCCTTTGTTCAGAGTCATCACATTAATTAAAAGGCCTGGTAAACTTACAGAAATTTCATGTAAGATAAGAAACCCTATAGCAAGGTTAAATCTACATGTCTTGCTGAACCAATGTTAGATGGCTCATTGAATACTACAGTTAGCGTTCGGTTTCTTTGACTTAAAAAATATTTCAGTATCAAAATACTGAATGGTTTCACTCATAGCAGGAGTATAACGGACCAGGCAAGAAAATAATAATGAACAGCTATATACCAGAGACATTTTATGGGGGTGGAGTAGGGAATGGGATCAAAAACAGTGGGGGGAGAGAAATGCACTGGACTATGGTGATGGCACATGGGTGATTTGGTGATGGGAAGTCCAAGGGGATTACAACTGAGATGGAAAAATGCACAAAATTATGTAAAAATAAACTAATTATTTTTTTTAAAATTTCAGTATCTATGAATATCCTCTTATAACCCAAAAAATCTTTAAAATCTCCCCAGTATTGTGGATTATATAAATCTCACTCAAAAAAATATCTTGACTACTTAATATATTTTATGATACATGGAGAGTGACACATTAAAAAATTTATTGACACTGCAGAAATGTCTACTCCCTACAATTGTACTCATGTCACTAAAGTCACATTTGTGTCACATACCAAGTGTAATAACTATCTTTAATGAATGGCACTAAAAGTCATGGGGAAAAACTAAGTCCTGTATTTTGATCCTTAAGATATAAAAAACTTTATTTAGTAGCCACCTATTGTATTTCTGTATCAGGTTAATTTGGGGGAATAAGTTATAAAAGCATATTTTTTAAAGTGGAAATGACAATTTTTCTAAATAATTTTTAACAACCAGACAGAGTTGAGGTGACAGAAGTTTCACTATCAGCATATATAATATCTTCTTCATATAGTTAAAATGGCATTCTACTTAAGAGAGCAAGGAGAAAACATTCACTGGCAACATAAGAGAAATTTAGAGGAAGATAGGAAAATGAAACCACACATCTTTAAAATAAATAAATGTATGTTCTATGTTTGCACATATGAACTGTCCCAAAAGTTGCATGCATTTTAAAAAAGTATGTAGTATATCTATATGGCAAGAAATGGAGAGAATAGAGAAAAACAAAGACAGTCTTACAATATTAAAAAGATCAGAAATCTAGAATTCTAATTTAGACCAATATCATTATAGCATCATAAAAGAAGTAACAAACTGTCATTGTGGGTTTTTTTAATTGCTTTATTAGGAAGAACAATCTTAAATATTTTTCTACCTAGTATATTTGTTTTGTTTTTTTTTTAAGATTCATTTATTTATTCACAAAAGAACTGGGGTACCCGTCAGAGGCAAGTGGGGGTGGTGAGAGGATTCACCAGAGACAGAATGAGAAGCAGAACAGGCAGATAGACTGATACACACTGCTGAGGGGAGCAGCAGGCAGGCCAGAAGAGGTCTGCCATGCCATGTGGGTTACCTCCTTGGCTGGGGATGGAACACGTGCTTGCAGTGGCTGTGATAGCTTCACAGTGCTGTGCATTAACCTGTTGCCTTCTACCTAGTACATTTGTATGGAAGTATTTCAACTACCCCAGCATGAATGAATATATAGGATAATAGGATTATTCATAAGATATCCCTTCATATTTCAGGTACAATGATTACTATGAGAAAATAGGTACATAAAAAATGATTCAATTTCTTAGATTTATACTTCCTTGGGGGGCAAACTTTAACTTCTGGGCTTGATTTTTCTCTCCTCAGTTACAAATCATTTCATGGAAAAGTTCTTATCTTTTCAGCAGTATAAGAAGTACAAGTAGTTGACAAAAGGGAGTTACAAAGCAGTAACACCACCAAAATCAGAATCAACACTGTTGGAATATGTTTCAGCTCTGTTATACCAAGGAATTTAAAAAACCGTAATAATCTATAATCCTTCCTAAACAATTAGCTTTGTTTTCTCTCAGAGGAGAGTTGCACATTAAGCCATTTCTAACTCTCAAACTTGGGAATATAAACAAATTTACTCAACTTATTAGTATCCTTATTTGTTTGAACTGTATGTTTTAAAAATCATACTCACCACATGCAATTGATAGGTAAACTTGAGAATCTGGTGTCTGGTGTAGGATGCGAAATGGAGCTACTTTAGCAGTGGAGTCGAAGACTGAATCAAGAGTCCCAACCAGAAGCCCTATTGTAAATATGAGAACATGGATTTCATAAGAGATAAAATCAGTATCACCTCATATGGCAAACACAAATAAATTTATTTTTAAAAATATCTATCCCCAAGTTTTCTTATTAAGATTTTTTCTTTGAGAGATACTGGGCTTGTATAAGTTTGAACAAGGCAATGAAAAGGAGTCACAGCAGAAGCACAACCAAAATCAGAATCAACACTGCTAGAATATATGCTTCAGTTCTCTCATACCAAGGGATTTTTAAAAACCGTAATAATTTATAATCGTTCCTGAACAATCTTTTCTTTATCCTCTTTTGTAATACAAGGGGGTTAAATCAGAACTTATCACAAAGGACTGTTGTAAAGATGAAATGAGCTATTATTATATGTATAACACTTAACACATAGTAAACCACGCTGTATTAGCTAATACATAATTACATTAAAAATTATTTAGTTAAACAAGATATAATCTTAATTAAATGCTAAGATAAAGGGATTTAGTTTATAACAATTAATTTTTAATTCCTCAATTTGGAATTATCTGATTGTATTTATTGTTCCATAAAACAAACTACTGTTATCTTAAACAACCAACTAATTTCTCCCTTCATGTCTTTGTTAAGCAATTGTTCTCCTTTTACCTAGAAGTGCTACTTCAAATCTTGTAGCCCAGTCAAGTTAATATAAATTCTAATCCAATTTTCTATCCAGATTTTCCTCAAAACCCATTTACCACACAAAATCTTCACTGGTAACCCCAAGCAATAACACCTTCCCTTTTTTTCTGAATATTTATAGCACTTACTATATAATCTAATAATCTGATTATTAGACTAGTTGTTACAAATACTTTCTAAGGGCTTCAGGTATATTAATCGTATGCCCTTACCTAGTAGATTGGCTCTCTGAGGACAAAAGCCATGTCCTCTACCTCTGGGTTTATAATCCTAACTTTTTGATATGTTGTTAGGTACAATATAGGAGCAAACTCTGCTGACTTAACTGCATCAATGGCTGAAATCTACCTTTTCTAGAAACTTTGATTGGCTGAGTATTGGTTTTGTTTTATGAGACATTCCCTTTTAATCTAGCAAACAGGTTTTTGAGAAAAAAAAATAAGTCAATTATAAAACAGGCTTTTGGCTATTTCCTATAGACTTCAAGCAAATTTAGAATGAGACTATGAGTAGGCTGGAAGATGAGATGTAGGAACTTCTTATAGGTACAGGAGGTAAATTAGAAGAGTAGGAGAGAACAAATAAATAGAAATTTGCTCAGCTGAAAGAAAAAGGGTAGGAGTATATATAGTAATATGTTAAAAAGTCATTTATATATACTAATATATAAAAAGTCATAGATATAGCATAATATCAATCAAAACCCTCTGGCAGATTGCTAAAGTATCGAGAAAGAAGAGTTTGACAGTGGCAATGAGTGTGGAATATAGAGAAAAAAGTTATCTGGTAATAAAAAGCTATGACATGAATCAAAGATTTTTAAGACATAAAAAACAAGAAAATCTGGCCCTCCCTGGTGGCGCAGCGGGTTAAAGCACAGCACTGAGAAGCTAAAGCCACTTCCGCAAGAGTTCGATCCCCGCCTACCCCGGAGGTGACCACGTGGAGCGTAGGCGACCACGTGGCACCGCAGACCTCTCCTGACCCGCCCGCTGCTGCTCCCCTCAGCAGTGTACTTCGTCGATCTGCCTGTTCTGTTCCCCACTCTGTCTCTGATGAAGCCTCTCACCGCCCCTGAACCTCTGGCCTGTACCCCAGTTCTGTATGAATATATCAATAAATCTTTACAAAAAAAAAACAAAAAAACAAGAAAAGCCAGACAAATATTATGAAAGGAGATAATAGGAAAAAGAGGATGGGAATGAGGAGGCGCAGCAGAGGAAGTGATTATGTTTCAATTAATAATAAGGGAATTACTGGAGGATTTGATAAGAGGAAAAATAATTCTATCACATTTAGCATGAGATGAATGCGAAATTAAGAGATTTGGCTAAGAGGTGGAGAATGAAAAAAGAAAAGTGGGAGCTAAACATATGCAGATAGCTTCTTCAGAGCAATGTAACTGAAATTATTCAGGATTTGGAAAAACTGGAAGTTTGAAAGCACTCAAAAGAAAGATGAAAGAGTGGTAGTGAAAGACAACCAAGAAAACAATCTGCATATATAAATATACATGTAGTAGCAGTAAAATTATCAAAATAAAGGAATTATAACTTCAAATAAAAACATTTACCAAGAAGCAAAATGGTTTTGGCAGCTTAAATTCTAAAAAGAAGTTCCCAAAAAGAAGTATTTTCAAATTTGAAAGGAAAATTTTTATTTCACTTTTACTACAGTTTAAATAAAACTAGCTCAAATCCTATTTCCTTATTTATATACACTAGAAAAAGAAGCATTGGAAAAATGGAGAAAAGAACAAATTAAATAGGTAAAAAAAGGTTTGGCTCTGCTGACAAAATAACAGTAGGGATGTGTACCTGTGCAGAGGCAAAGAGGAAAGCAACACAACAACTACTGAGTTCTTTATAGCGATTAATTCTCCATAGAGTTTTGAGACTGAGGACAAAGTGGTAAACATAACAAAAGGACCTTTTTTTTTTTTTTAGCAGACATATCCACAAGATTTTAAGTGTCCTACACTCTGTGGAAAGGAAATTTTTCAGTATTCTTAAGTGCATTAAAATTAGGCAGTTAGTTTAAAACTATGCAACAAATAATTTGGAAGCTTGCTAGAATACATTTCTAGTCATTTGGGGAACTCTTCCAGTTCATTAAACTATAATCACCATCAAGTAAGTCCCTGCAAATTATTCCGGAATTAGTATGTGCCAATGTCTGGTTTCTAAAAGCACAAGAAAATAAGCAGAAAAACGGTGGCTTGCTTTCCCTATACACAGGAGTTTATCGTCTAACAACTTAAACATCCAAGGTCATGAATCAAACTACACATGTAAAGTCCTACAATTTTACTAAATTGTGAAGCCAATGTATACCATCTGTCAGCTGCGTGACTAAACAGAAGATTTAAAAATATCAAGAAGTTCAAAATTATCCTTTGAATATCTGAATCTTGAGTATCAATGTCCTAGACTTTGGTAAAGGTCTGCAGAGTTCTGGCAGCATCCTGCCATACATGTAACACTAAACTTTTTAAGGAAATTCATGGCTATAATTGATGTGAAATACTTATTAAATGGCACAGCAAAATAACAAAAATAAAGGTTCTATAACTTAAAATAAAAGAGGCAATTTTCAGGTAATAATTATTGTTTAGAAACCCATTCTTTTTGAACAGAGATAGTGCACAACTGAAAAACATCCCAACAGGTCATACTATATAACCTCGACACATTCACTTATAGTTTCCTTGACAGCTTGGCCTTACCCTTTATAACTCTAGAAAGTTTAATTTTCCCAACCAAGGCAACCTATTACATTGGTGGGGATTTCTGTTAACTGGAAATCCTTTCTAAAATATGAAAGGATTCTGATCAGTGCATAGGTTCCATGTCCCGAAGGATTCCAATGCTTGGTTTAATGCTTTCCTGTCATCATTTCGAAACACTAATTTTTTTTTGGGGGGGGGGCTGGGGGTAGGGGAAATTGTGAATATCAAATTGTATTAGTCACCTTGGCAGATTATTAAAACTAGTATTATACAGTAAACAAATTATATATGACATGATCCTTGTTAGCTTTCTAACTTAAGTACCTTAGGAAGAGACAGTGCTAACTAGTATTGAATTGGGTTTTTCATTATTATCACTAAGACAAATACAGGATGGTGTCACCTATAAGTGGAATGTGGAGAAATAAATGGTGAAATAAAACCAAACCAATTACAAACCCTAGAAACCTGACAGTAGAACTGCAGCTACCAGAGGTAGAAGGGAATTCACACTAAGCCCTATCCATGATGTAGCCAGTCCTGGTTAGTGTACTTATCTCTGGGCAGAGGAGTGATGGGTGATCACTATTTTCTTCTTTATACCTTTTTACAGTGAAAACCTTCTTTAACCTTTAATACAGAAAAATGAATCTATTTCTTATACACTTTCTTAGGATAAATAAAATGCTACTTCCTTGCAAGTTTGAGTTAATACAAAACATAAACCCTATTCAACATAATGGATCTTTAGTTCCTCTGTTATATGACACTGTCTGGGCCTCTTATTTATTTCCTCCACAATTCTCTTAACATACCTATTTGAAAGCCTCATAAAATTTGTCATTCAGGGCCCTCCCTGGTGGCGAAATGGGTTAGGAAACAGCACTGCAAGCTAGCTGGAGCCACTTCAGTGCAGAGTTCGATCCCCTGGGCACCAGAGTTGGTCCACATAGAATAGCAGACCTCTCCTGGCCCACCAGCTGCTCCCCTCAGCTGTGTACTTCGTTGATCTGCTTGTTCTCCCTACTCTGTCTCTAGTGAATCCTCTCACTGCCCCTGCACCTCTGGCCTGTACCCCAGTTCTGTATGCATAAATAAATAAAGCTTTAAAAAAATTTGTCATTCAAACTTAAATACCAGGTATGATCTGAACAAATGCAGCTTCTTCACATTTGTGGGTTCTTGTGGTTAATGCACTCTAAAGCTCATACTAGCTCTTTTAAACATTATCATTCTAAGTTTGTAATCAACTAGCTTTGATTCTTTTCACAAAGGTAAGTACCAACCTAGGCATCTGTGTCTGGTACCACTGTCTTCTAAAAATATATAAAAACAGTTTACATTTATTAATGTTAAACTGTACCTCACTGACTTCAACTGAGCATTCTAACTTGTCCAGAGCATTCTGAATCTTGATTTCAATAACATAAAAATGATTCTTAACCAAAACTGCAAATATGAATCACTTGGAAATTAGAAACCACTTGAAACTAAGTTCAAGTTTTGAAACTAAAGCCTAGAGGTTCTAATTTAAGTGATCTGTGGTAGGACCTGGATATCCTATTTTTGCATTAACTTTGTATTTTTCAAATATATATTTA